GTACCCAACATGTGTGAGGGCACTCCTGCCTTTACTATTTTACATTCTTGTCAGTACATGTCATTGAGTTTATGGCGGTATTGCATTTCAGAGTGATAAACACAAATTGAGATTTTAAATGGACTGTACACCTATTATATATTTTTATTCAACCTTTATCTAACCAGGAAACACCCATTGAGATTAAGATTTTTTTTTTTCAAGGGAGTCCTGGAATACCTATTTGTAAAAGTCTGACATAAACAAAGCTCGGAAGCTAAGCAGTATGCAGCCTGGTTAGACCTGGTATGGTAAACTGGGAATAATAGAAGGTGAAGGCTTTGAAGTACAAAGTATGTCCCAGTGTTGTTGCACATTACTGGGAGGGCAGCACGGTGGCATCTGTGGGTTCCACTCCCGTTTCTCAGCAAGAAGGTCCTGGGTTCGAACCCCGGCCGGAACAGGTTCTTTCTGAGTTGAGTTATCCCTGTGCCTGCGTAGGTTTCCTCCAGGTGCTCCGGTTTCCCCTACCAAAAACTAACTTTCAGAGTCTATGGTTTTGACGCGTCTCCTTGGTTTGACAGCTTTTAGTGGACAGCTTAGACTGTAGTGGATAATAACAGTAACACAAAAGTCATATAAAAGTAAGGAGTAACGCAATAAATTACTTTCTTTAGAGAGTAACTAAGGAAAGTAACAGGTTACTTTTTTAAAGGAGTAACTTCCCCAACACTGATCTCAGGATAGGGGTGTCTAAACATTTTTACTCAACTGACCAAAATAATATGTGTCCACAGCCCAAAGGAAAAATCTGTTTTTGTATAAAAAAATGGTATACTTTATTTTTTGGGCAGTTTGTGGCTATGGTCACCCAAGCGCAATTACAGCCAAAATCCTATGTCTCAGCTACAATTACGATTGAGAGATGAGAGTTTATTATCTATTTGATATCTTATATGTCTGCAGAGAAGGTGATTGGCTGCAGCCTCCCATCGCTGCAGGACCTGTACGTCGCCCGAGCTCGAGGCCGGGCTGGTCGTATCACAGCCGACCCCTCTCACCCTGCACATGGACTATTCCAACCACACCCCTCAGGCAGGAGACTGCGGTCCATCAGGACTAGAACCTCCCGCCACAAGAACAGTTTCTTCCCCTCTGCTGTTGGACTCTTGAACACTTCTTAACCTGTCCCCCTGCCCTCTAGAAGTCCCCTACTGCTCTTTATAATGTCACTTTACCTCACTGTACTGCTGTCACCTTACATTGTGTGCACCATGTGCACTGTATATTGTATAAAGTAATTGTAACTCTATTTTAAATGTATTCCTTAGAAGTGCTTTAATTCTTTATTTTTCATTATGCCTCTCTACCTTTACCTCTCTTTCTGACTGTTGCACTGAGCCAAAGCAATTTCCAAGTCTGTGACTTCCTGTTACTTAAGTGGCAATAAAAATGATTTTGATTCTGAATATCTTGGATCTTGTTGGATGTGAAATTATCTTGTGCATCCAATGTCCTACTGCCCTGTACGGTGTGCAACAATGACCAATGGCTCCTATGCGTTTGATGTTCTTCCATCTCCTGTGTTTGAAGGGTTTAATTATCAGGGGCCGTATTCCTAAAGATTCTTAGTCCTCTCAGAGTGCTCCTAACTTAACCTAAAAACTCCTAGCAAGGAGTCATAGCTTAAAAGTTATTCGAGAACTCTCTTAGAGAACTCTGAGCAAGGAATGGACAACAACTTTTATCTTAGTGAGGAGGCGTGGCCGACCCCGTTGCTAGGTATGAGTCATCATCAAATAATAATTTTCTTTATCATGTATATTATATATATATATATATATATATATATATATATATATATATATATATATATATATATATATATATATATATATATATATATATATATATATATATATATATATATATATATATATATATATATATATATATATATATATATATAATATACATGATAAAGAAAATTATTATTATACATTATACTTATTATTATAATATATGGATAAATGATGATAAGGATAACGTTAGGATTAGTAAAGGCTGTGATACTGAAAGACGTATAAGGTATTTAGGGAAACAATATTAATATAAACATATTAGACACACACTGTACCTAGTGCATGTTATTGTAAATGTCACTGTTGCGTAACTTTAAATATACCACGGAATAAACTAATGAATAAACTAAGCTGTAGCAACCACATCATTTAAGTTAATTTAGAATAATAAATAGAGGGTGGGAGTTTAAAACTTAACTTCTTCACACTCCTTTTTGCACTGGATTGTTGTTAATAAAACAAAACTGTATATTTGTACTTTATCCATTCTGTTGTTGTTTTGTTTGTTGTTGTCCTTTTTCTTGTTTGCCATGGCTCGAAATACAGTATTCATTCATTCATACTGAATGTGTGAAAACTTAACCCATGCTGGTAATTTTTTCTCTTTCAACTTTTACCATTTCTACCTATGGTGTAACAAGGGTAAAATGGATGAGGTCTTATTGCTGACCAGCCAATAAGAAGCTGGTCACATGATTAACTAAAAATACCACAAACATGATTCCTGCACGACTCAATCTACAGCGTTTCGCTGATTCACTGTCATCCAGTGTATAGAATATTTCTCCTGTCTCTTCCGTCCGCCATTTTGTCCTCTTACTGAACTTTTAAGTCGCTAAAAGTCCTCCTCTCCACTCTTAAGAGATCTCACCTTATAGGAGCACTCTTAAGAGCTAGGATTCTTTAGGAATAGCTTTTTTCTTAACTAGGATCTACTCCTCACTTTTAGGGGAAATTCTAAGAGTAGGTCGAGATTCTGAGAAAATTCTTAAAATTTGGCCACTAGGAGCAACTTTTAGCACTAAGAATCTTTAGGAATACGGCCCCTGATCTGTTAGACGACTTTGTAAAGTTCTCCATGATGGCTGCTGTTGTGTTTTAGGGCTGTTCAAAAATAAATGTAAATGAATGAACGCAGGATTCATTAAAGACAAAAAGATAAATGTTAATATGCGAAAACCATTAGGCAGTTTATACAGTATGGTTATATTACCTTGGCTTTGGACAGTAACATAGTTTACATGCTATTCCTTTAAAACCACCAGGTGAAACCCAGATGGCGGATCCTCAGTAACCACATTTGTCTGAGCACATTTTTTTGATCATCTTCATCAGGATTCTGATCCAAACCAGACTAGAACCCCTGGTAGATATGGTAAGACACATCCTTGACTGAGTGTGCCAACTCTGTAGAGGACATTCTGTACTGAAATTAGATCTACATTTCTCTCCAAGAAGCAGCATTTAGCCAAAGCATTTTTATTTTGGCAGTTTACATTTATTAAACTCTGTGTTCCAGTCACACAGCCTCCACCGATCTACAGCGATGAGGCCAGAGTGCATGTGACAGGTGACTCCATTTGATGTTGTTAGTACATGTTGTTCCTTTTCATTGTTTTATTTTTCATTTGTAGAATGATAAAACGCTGTCAGAGACACACATGGAACGCTCTTGTACAAAATATTACGTGGCAGATAAAGCCATTGGATAAGAACGCTCGTTTGAATAGTGTTTTAGAAATAGGAGCTTGTTCCAGACTGTTGCATGAGTTGTGTTTCCTTTATGCGATGTCATCATTGAACATCCTGATTTTTCTTCCAATAAATGTTGACATGTTGAAATGGGTGTGTGAATAGGTCTGTCCCACCAAAGAAAGGCAACATTAGATAGTAAACACTTCAAAGATGCCCCTAAAATGTTAACACAATTGAGAAGGCTGATTTAGTTCACCAGGCTTGTCCTTGGCCCAACGACCCAGATTGAAAAACTGTTTTGACTGGATTCGGGATATTCTGAGTTATGATGGAGTTGAAATTGGCTGAATAACACATGACCATTTCACCAGCAACAATAGCACCATTTACAGAATAGTGTGACAAAAAAAGTGTCAGTATACAGAAAAAAGTCAAAAGATTCTAGAGGTTCTAAGCTTTAAGAGGTACAGTGGGGAGAACAAGTATACACTGCTGATTTTAGAAGTTTTCCCGCTCAGAAAAAATTTGAGGTCTGTAATTTTTTATTATGAGGGACAGAATCTATAAATTAGCTATCTATGAGCATTGAGTGGCAGCTCTCATTGCCACCCCCCACGACACAGAAATTGATTGATAAAGGGGTTTGAAAATGAAAGAATCTAAAAAATAAATAAATAAAACCCTCTGAAAATCACCATGGATGATTTTGATGATTCTTCTTGTAGGACATACGTTTTTTATTGCTGGTCAACCAGTAACAATTTAGGCTCCCAGAGACATGCTGCTTAAACGTAAAGAAGCTCTCCTGTTTTGTTAATTCGACCCAAGGATATCACAAGGGTAAAGTCTGTGGCAGGTTCAAAAAACAATTACTAAAGTATTTACTAGACTGTAAAGTTCACCTGTATATAAACAGCACCAGCTAAATTTAAAAATAAAGTTAATTTTGTCCACATACAGAACACACCTGAATATAAGCCACAAGTTTTTCATTGAAATGGAGTCAACAGTGGTTTAAATCACAACATGATTTAAACCACTGTTGACTCAAAATGGACAAAGCTTGGTAACTAAACCAATACAATCGGAGTATGCAAACTTTCACTCATATAAACATGCTTACCCTAACTGTTAGTTCTCAAGTTGGGTCTGATTGACTAGTTACTAAAACTTGGAGTCAAAATAATAAGTGAAAATACATCCATTGGCTGTATCACTATGTAGGCTGCAGGGGTTCAGAAGAAATGAAAAAAGCAATAACATATAGCCCATAACGATAGTAAACAACTATTTTAATAATCAATAGTTTCAAGTAATCAACTCATTTGTTACAGCCCTTGTATATTTCAAAGCTATAGCCTGAGCTCAAAAATAAAGAAACACATCTCATTTTACATCTTTATTAATCTCCTTCAAAAGTCCAGACTGCAGCAGGGGAAGCAGTATTGCACCAAGCCCTGGTCTTCACTTGATGCCGCTGCTGGCCATGGTCTGGGCCTTACACACGCCCTTCTCGGACACCTGGAAGGCAGCTCCTTTGTAGGTGGCCACACAATTGGCATCTGTGAGCAGGTCAGGCTGGATCTGCTCCCACACCTTCTTCTTGGGGTTGAGCTCTTTGTCGGGCTCGCCTGAAACCAACACAAGAGCATCAGTGCCTTTTCAATACTCAAAATATCACATTAAGTCAGCGGTGAGGAGGACACGTGTGCTTAAAAGTGCACTACAAGGACAAAACATCACTTTTGGACTAAAACTAGAATCGAAACTTTTGACTTTCCCACAGGAAAAAGTTAGGCACCGCATCAACACACAAGTTATTTTTTATTACAATGCAAATTTACAAACAAAAAAACAGCACTAAAATGTTTTTATTTATTTCAAACATTGAACCCAAAACGCAATAAGTATTACTTAAAAAAATAATAATAATAATAATAATTATGAGTCTACATACAGTACAACACTCATCCTTCATTCCTTTGGTCTAGTTTTGATACAGCACTCAAAAAAGTAGTTGTTGTGAACAAAGTTGACGGCAGCATTTTGTCTTCATCTTAAAAGTGATGTCAGCAACTTAAAATTTCATTTAATTTTTTAAAGAATGAATAGTTCTGACGATGGAACCCTGTACCATCATGTGCAGTAAGTACTTATCAACGATTATATATTCGTTCGTATAGATGGATGTGTTTCTGCTGCTGGACACCTGTATTTTTCCTACAAGGATCAATAAAGTATCCATCTATTTAAAACAGTTCCTTTCCTTGGCATAAGAACAAGCAGAAAGATTTTCTGGTGGAGTTTAGTTAAAACAATGACAAGGGGCCTCTAGGATTTGGTGTGTGCAAGAAGTGTAATTGTCTTTCCAATATGAAAAGTAGCTGGCATTCACTTCAATAGAAACGTGTTATCTTTTGCAAACTTGTGTTGGGCTGGTTGAGGGTGGTGTGTGTGTGTGTGTGTGTGTGTGTGTGTGTGTGTGTGTGTGTGTGTGTATGTATTTTTTCTTCAATAAATCTAACCCTATGAAAAAAGGGGGATAACATTGTATAAAGTATTGTGTAGTAAAATATCTCTTTTAAATCCAGCAATTGTGCCTCGTCCTGGCTTAACCTCAATCACCATTACTTAACCAAACTCTCTGATGGATGATTCTCTGCTCCTCCACTCCACAATGATGGCCAATAAACCGCGATGACCTTGGACGTTAACTCACAATTACACGCCAAGCCCAATGTTATTTCTTCCACGTGAACCTGCCGCTTTCAAAAATCTATGAATGCATTGGGTGATATAAACGTGTTCTTTCTTTTCAAGTCAGGCCTTTTGGCTGACGAAACTGGCTCTCTTCTCTCAGACTGTCGGCTGTGCGATCTTCCCGAGGTGTGAGGATTCAAATGTGTTTCATTTTCCAAAGTGTGGATGGAAGCAGCAGCCTTCCTCGTGCTCGAGTGCGGCCTCTGGGTCTGATTAGGGAGAGGAGACGCAGGCAATTGACAGCCTGCCCCAAACACACCATCGGCCATAATCGAATCTACGCCGCAGACATGGCAGTAGTGGTGAGACTGGACGTACTGTCTTTAAGGGTCCAAGTTTTTACCTTGGTTGCAACAGTCGCGCAGCAAAAAGGCATTTTAATTTGTGTTCCTTTTTGTATTTGTATTATCATCACAAGCCTGCTGTTAACATTTTCAACTATTAATCCAGTTTTTCTCCCTTATTGTAAGCTTTGTTTGTGCACCAGGTATATATTATATGACCAGTTTGACGTTTTTTTCCATTACTAATATTTTTCTTTATCAATTCAATGTTTGCTTATTATCCTACTGCTACAGTTAGAGTCAGGGCGGCACGGTGGCTGAGTGGATAGCACTCTCGCCTCTCAGCAAAAAGGTCCTGGGTTCGAATCCCGGTTGGACCAGGGCCTTTCTGAGTGGAGTTTGCATGTTCTCCCCGTGTCTGCGTAGGTTTCCTCCGGGTGCTCCGGTTTCCCCTACCACTAAAAATATGTACAATAGGTCTGGCATGTGCCTCCTGTACTGGCACCCCCACTCCCAAAAATCACAATTGTAAACCGCTTTGAGATTCCGATGTGCAGTGAAAAGGCGGTATATAAATAAAGATTACTACTACTACTGCTACTACTTAATGTAAAATCCCAATGCATAAAGTTTTGAAACACAAAACAAAAAACGACTCTTATAGAGCTGTTCTTTAATAATGTCCTACTTTAAATGATTGCGGTGTGGGGAAAATCTTACCAACATCCTTTCCTAACCTGCAAAAGCCACTACAGTTCATAAAATCAAAAACATTTAAATAGTAACATCTGAGTAACTTTAAAAAAAAATGCTCAAATACTGTATCTCACTACAACTACAAACACAAGTACCACTAATACCACTACTACCCCTGCAACACGTGTCCCTTTTTTAATCAATCGTTCGATGAACACTTTATTGATTCCAATTGAAATTACATTGTCCAATTTCTCACATACACCCAAGCATAGAAGTATAATTTCAAAAGGGTAAAAGTCACATTTAAAATAATTGCAAGGATCATAATTTCAGTTGAGCACTAATTTATGGGTAGCACTTTTGTTTTAAAAGGCAGAAAACTGTCTTTAAAACGGTCATAGTGGGAAAATGACATCATACTATTCCAGGAGTTTTTAGACAGAAGGGGCGGAGCTAAATATTTATGCCAGAAGTTCCCGACGGAAGCGTGGATGAATCGAAAAACACCTCCAGGGATGTTGATGAAGGAACATGATAAAATGCTCAAAAGATGTTGTATAATCTTGTCTCTTATTCAAATCTCTTGTAACTTTGAAGATCCATTATCAAACTACTGACAAACACGGACAAACAGGATGAAAGCTTTGGCTCATAAAATGCCTTGATTAAATTCATCACAGGAATTTGCCCCTTTTGTTCATAGTAAAACTTGCAGCCTATCAGCAAGTACAAGAAAATACCAAGACGAGGTGTATGTGAAGAAAGCAAACACTAAAAAACCTCTTTAAAGCAAGAACAAAAATCTATACAAGCTGTCAAAAACTTATGAGGAACATCTTCATACGTAGGAACATCTTCAGTGGGGCAAAAAACAGAGCTAACAAGGAATTTAATTTATTATCAGTCAAAAAATCTTTTGTGTGTCTTCAAACCAGAATTCACCCAGGGCCACTTCCAAAAGCAGTAAGTTCTCTGAAAACAGCACTGAAAACTTAATTAGGATTTATCGTACTGAACAATCAACTATGGACAAATTCAAGACTTGAAAGTACAGTGGTCACTTGTTTATCACATTCTAAAAATAGCTAAAAAGTGGCAGCTGTATGTTTTAAGGCTCACCACAAATGTATAATTTTTTCTAACCACCAAGTGCAGAAATATCAAACCTGTTCGTTGCAGGTCTGTGCGCTCCAGCAGCTGTCAAAAGCCGTGCATATACTGCCGTCACAGTGGTGCACACAAGCCACAACAGTTTTTGTCCAACTTTAAATAAAAGGTATCTGTCTCAGAGAGGGACCACTGTATCGTGAAACAAACCAACAGCCACACTGCAGCAACAGAACCATTCTAGGGAAAACACAGAGCACGACTGTGTTGGCCTGTGCTTTTATACCTGGGAAGCCCTGGAACGTCACTCTGTCTCCGGGTGCAGCTCCGCTCGGAGGGTCCAGGATCTCCACTTTGTCTGGGGAGCTGGCGCACATAACCATGGCCTGGGACACCACGCCTCTCATCTTAGCGGGCTTGAGGTTACACAGGAGTACGGCCATACGGTTCTGCATCTGTACGGGCAAACAAATTATTCATACAAAATACATTTCCCAGAGCGAGAGGCTATGGAAGGTCTAAACATTTGTATTATTCCAATAACATTGTGTAGCACCCTTCAAAAGAGGATTTTCTGCATTATATTGCACCTGGTCCAGTGGTATGTGCTTGACCAGGCCGCTGACCACAGTCCTAGGACTGGCCTCGCCCACGTCCACCTGCTCCACATACAGACTGTCTGCGTCCGGGTGCTTCTCTGCAGAGATGATGCGACCGACACGCAAGTCCAGACGGGACACATCCACCTTGGCCTCGTCCTGACCTGGGGCTGGCTGCTTCTTGTCAGCCTTTTCTGCAACAGCAAAGTCAGGAAATACTGTTACGCAACATTTAGGTTAAAAAAGACCCAAGATCACATTTCAATCAAGTGAAAAATACACAAAGAAGCGGATATGTGAAAAAGTGTTACCAGGGGAGAAGTCAGAGGAAACTAAACTTTGAGAGTCATTTGTAAAAGCTTTCATGGTCACTGAATAATAGCACTCATTATTAAAATATTTTTTTTAAAGGCACTTTTCAAGTGGATTGTTTTCAAGAACAAATATGAGCAATAAGTCACAGATGAAACAACACTTGGCATCCATGTGGAATTCAGTTTAATTTCCTGTCATAAAAGAAAACAAAAGCCACCAATAGAACGCTTAGGGCAGGCATGTGTTTCATCTCATCAACAAATACATTCAGCAAAAGAAAAGGACGAGGTGCAGACCAGATTTTAATAACTAAACCAGTGGATGTGCTGGCCAAAGGCTCCGTGCTTCAGTGACAAAACAGAATAACAGGCGGCGAGTCTCTTTTGGACTCTGCAGAGGACACCACTGATCAAGTGCTCTGCATGGCTTTAATCAGACTGCCACTAAATCTGTTCCAACTGTGCCCTCAGAATGCTGCTGTGATGACAGCAGCACCAAGTCACACTTGCACGTCTCTATTAGGATTATTACAGCCTTGTAGCTAACAGGAGACGACAAGGTGAAAGTAGAGCTATAAGAAAAGTAGTGGAAAAGGGACTGTGGCATCTGGTAACATGGAAACAGACACACACACGTGCACAGAGACACACACACACGCACACCCTTTCCTCTTGATTACTGAGTGAACTGAGCACAGCCTGCAGTTTCCGCACACACTAATCCTGGAGCATGTTGAGTGATTTATTTCTGCAGAGCATCTTTGATCAGGGTTTGGTTGTGATCAACTGGACAGAATACTCTTTGTTTTGACTTTGATATTAAGATGTTAAGGATCCCTGCTGAAATGGATCCTCATATTTTCCCTCATTAAGATTACTGTCTGCAATCGATTACCTTTCTTGTCTGGCTTCTTCTTGGCCTGGTCTTTGGAAGAGGGGCTCTGGGCGTCCGCGGCAGCTGGGGCAGCTGGGGCAGCTGGAGAGGGAGTGAGGGGTGTGGACTTTTGACTACACTCCACGCTGTTTTCACCTGATGGCATTGGCACATCCAGCACTGCACAAACAGTAGTACATGTGATCAGAACTCAAAGAGAGACGGAGAGAGCTTTATTTATAAATAGGCGCTCCTGATGCAAACAGTGCTGAAAATCACAAAGCCAGACTTGATGGAAAGCAGGAAATGGGGACATGAAGCAGAAAATATAGTGGTGCAGCAAAGAAGTAACCATTCATTTGAGGCGCCTGCAGTTGTTGCGCAGAGGAGCAGTTTGGTCTGCAGGCTCTCCGCGGTCTCAGGAAGGCTTTTTAATCACCTTAATTCTATATTCAAACAAAAGAAGACGACCTTTCCGGTTTACACAGAAATTACAGGCAATAACTTTAACTTGGAACGTTACCCACACACTGTTTTTGTCACACTATTTTCTTCCAAAGCAGATGTTTCTTGATCGGAGCCTGCCGACATCGCACGTACCTCCCCTCGTCTTTTCTTTATCCAGCAGCTGTTTTTTCAGAGCTTCGATCTCACTCTTTAAGTTGGAATTCTCCACCATCAGTTTCTTCTCCTCCCTGGCGCTGGCCTGGACCACTGGAACAACAATAAAGTGTTCTAAAAAATGAAAAAACTCTATGTTATATCACCACTAACTAGGAGCAACTAGGGAGTTTTGCTTTCCCTGTCGTATCAATTGCCAATTAAATGGTTATATGCTTGTCTTCCATTAGATGCACAGACCAACATCCTCACCAAACTAATTGCAATTACGCAGGTAGATTCGGATGCTGTTGTCATAAAGGCACCTTGTAAGATAAATTAAAGGGGGTTTAACAATCAAAGGGTCATTCAAAGGGTTAAAGGGTTTAACAGTCAACAATGAGTTTACATTGTGGCAGCTAAACGGCAAAGTTTCTAGGTAACAACGGTAGATTTTTTGTTAATTTGGAGCTTTAATTCCTGGGCCAATCCACATGAAAAAAAAACTTTACGTATTTTGTATTTATTTATTTGAATGGGACAGTGCGTATTAATGGACAGAAGTAGCTGTGATTATATCAGACTGCAGCTTATTTGTAGCTCATTGCTGTAGTCCCCCACACACACAATCAATCAACCTGTTGTTCTTTTTATAAATGGTAAAGGAAACCGGTGCAGACACAGGGAGAACATGCAAACTCCACACAGACGGGCTATGTCTGGAGGTGGAATCAAACCCAGGACCCTCTTTCTGTAAAACCCAAGTGCTAACCACTTCTACACAGTGCCACTATGTATCTATGTCAAAGGGTGCTGACAATATTCAAAAACAAATGCATGATGTTGGCCAGTAGAAAATACTTCCATACATAAGAATAATATGGTGGCTTTGTGAATCTAATCTCTATCAAATAATGGTATTGTTTCGCACAAGGTCCTTTATGGACACATTTTGGTTGTTTTTTTTAATTATTTTTTTATTTTCTTGTTGTAAAAAGTAAATGTGAGCTTTGTATCCGTGTGACCCGAGGTCGGGTGTACATATTGGCCAAAGAAAAAATAAACTAATTAACTAACTAAACTAAACTAAATACTGATCTGGGAGAATAACAGGATATTTCCTTGTTCAACATTTCTTTAAAAAATTGATTCTTTCCCATTGAGTTGACCCATTACAGCCGCTCCATGATGTAACACATAAGATAACACACATCTCCAGCTTTAATGAATCCAGCATTTGGCAATCTACAGATGCCACTTTTTATGAGGTGCTAAAATGTGATAGGTCATAACAAAGTGCTTGGCTTGAAAACACTACATTACTGTGTGAAATGTGCATGTAATTGATAGTCTTACTGGCTTTTTCCTTCAGCAGTTGGACCTGCTGCTTCAGGTACTCTATGATCTGGTCCGCCTCCGCCGCCCTCTGCTCCAGCCTCAACAATGGATTGTGTCCCGACATCCTGACCAGGGAGCGCGCCAAAAACCTAGCACACAATACACACAGCTCATTCGATATAATCATACACCGTAGAATGTACATAGATGGACAAGGCTGACCCCCTAGCTCACTGAAGCCCAAAAGGGAAGTGCTCAAGGACGAAGTTTTGTTCCAACTCGCTCTGGCTTCTCTCGGCTTACATTGCAAAGTCAACTCCTCTAGCTCAGTAACCATTTGTGTCACACTCACTACTTTAAGCTTAAAAAATCTGTAGTTTAGTGCATACTATAATCCTGCTGTTTATATTGTGATACTATCTTTGTGATCCCAAATATGAGCCATATAGACCAACTGTTTGAGCAACACGCCTTCCCTTGTTAGAAGAGAAAGTTCTTTGTGTGCAGAAGCAAAACTTTGTCATTGCAAATAAGAGGTCCAATCTTGTTCAAAATCTGTGTAACTATCAAAAAGTGTAAACAATTATAGTGAGTAAAGAGTGTATCTAGTTAATTGAAGCGTTTATGTACCCGCAATAGATATGCTTTGCACTGAATTGGATTTCTCAATAGGTTAAAACCATTTTGATAGTGCATTAGGTAATCACTGCATATTACACCTTTTCAAATCAAATTCTTCAAGTTTGGTTTTTGTTGTAGGATATTGAAAGTTGCATTTGTAATCACTGGTCAGAATTGTTTTGCCAAAGCCATAAAGCCCAAGCAACAACTAATACACAATTATAAATAACCACTGAACACAGCCGCATTGTAATGGCTCCTCAGCAAAGTATGAAAACATTGTGTCTGGATTATTTAAGTGGATCGTGGTCAGGGTCTTCCCCCTCATGTTTACCCTTTATTCAACCCACAGTGGGGAAATTTCAATGTTGCATCACAAGTTACAGAGCAGGGAATGAGGAGCACACAAGATACATCGACAATATCTCTAAACTAAAATCAAAAATCAAAAATAAAATAATTTTAGCATATAAAGAAGAAAGTATAACATTTTCTAGCTTTACAATTTCAAGGAAGCAAATTTCATTTCATTTATTGTCGTTTGGTCAAAACAAACACAATAACATGGATAAGCTGAAGTCAAAGCTTATTGTGCCTGCCCTTATCGACCTTATTTACGGTCGATAACCTTATTAATCACACAAAACAAGATACAATACACAACACGTTTCCAAATGACTGTCAAATATTTGTCCATCATTTATTCCTTGATTTTTTTTTTTTTTTTACCGAAACAGAAGTAGAACCTTTTAGCTCATCGCAGCAACTCTTCCATAATTTCACACTTTTACTGGATAAACAATGTTCCCTTAAAGTCGTTCTTGGTCTATCAAACATACAAACTCCCCTCAAATTATATTGACTTAGTCTTTACAGGTTATGTTTACTGAAAGGCAGAGGTTTTTTTTTTTTTTTTAACTCCATACATGAACTTAGCCGTGTACAGGTCGACCAAGTCATAGAACTTCAATATTTGTGAATGAAGAAACAATGGATTACTATGAGAGTCATATGGCGCACAATTGATCAGTCTAATGGCCTTTTTTCTGCAACAAAAAATATAATTAGTTCTAGTTTTATATGTATTTCCCCAAAAACATAAGTTAGCTATGGGGTGGTGAACAATAAAGTAATTCCAAAGCTGTTTTGTTCAAATCTAACATCTCCAACTAGCATAATGAAGAAGCAAACATTTTTGCACTGATATTGTTCTTAATGAGGCTGGAATTTGACCCAAAAAAAAACTATTCTGGGGTTAGAAGCTCTAATTGCCTCTCTGCATGAAGATGGATTTTATAAGCCTAACAAATGGAGGATAAAAAGTCTAAGACAGTTTGCAAAAAGCCACAGGAAAACACCAGCTGGCCTCAGATGAAAACAGCGTAGTGGGATGAGGAAATTAGAAACACAAAAGCACTGCACTTGATAAAAATCAACGATCAAAGTCTTTTTTTTATGTGGTTGTTTTTCTTAAAGAAACTATTGATTTAAACAGCACCAGTGGAAAAGTAGCTGCACAAGCCACATAAAGGCAGATCATGTCTAAGAGGGAGATCTACAGCCATTTGGACAAAGTGACATCATTGGTATTAGATTTCAAAGTCTAATGTGATAATGAATGAAGAGCTGTTTTGAAGTTTTACTGTATTTTTACTATTTTTTCATATTATCGGCATGGAATATTGCTTCTGACCGGTCAAACATAGACAGTTTATGTCAGCAGACTCAGAACATGCTTGGCACAGCTCTCGACTTAAAATAGACATGAAGCTAATAATATTATTGGAGAACATTGTCTTTCCGATGTGACAAGATAAAATTAAAATTATAAAAAATAAAAATAAAAAAACACAGCTAATATATGTTTAAGTAATAATTCATTTTAATCACAGGGCAAATATTCCTTAGTTCTTGCCATTGAACATCAAAACATATAGTCCATTCATTTTAAAATGTATAATGATTGAAATGAATGGATGTAGATTGTGTTGCTTCAATTAAAAAAAAAAATGAGTCTTTGCTATTATGAAATTATCTGTATGAAAATGCAGAAAAGGAAAACAATTATTTTCAGCAGTAAATTGATCCTGGGTTTGAACCATTATTACCATATTTTAAGTGTGTGATGTAATACAGTTTGATATTGCTACACGAAGGGCAATGAGTTTTTAATGACACTGGAATAAACCTGTACCTAAAGCATTGATGGAGGTTTTCTAGGGTGATAACGCAGCCCACACAGCTAAGATACAAAATAAGGCCATTCAAAGAGCTGGCAAAAGGTTAAAACTTACATGGACACCGTACAAGCACGTTTTAACTCCTCTGTGGGGCTTTCACAGCTGCAGCTTCCGTAGAAAACAGGCAGAGACAGGACAGCAACACTCCGCAGTGAAAGGACCCAGACTGCAGACCCGTAAACACATGGATCGTGGAGCTCGGTCTGGAGCTCATCCGAATTGCAAACAGACTTTCTTCCTTATTCTCCCTTGTGCATTAAAATAGAGATGTTATAAAACCTCTTAACTCCAAATTTGGTTGATTGAATTTTAACACCGTTTAAATAATGATGTCATCCCATAGAGGTCAAATTTAATGCCGCCAAAAAACATAATAAAGAAATAATAAGGAAAGAGCATAGAATGTATTCAGATGGACATGCCTCACTAGCTCAATGAAGCCCAGTAGGGACATGCTCATGGATGAAGTTTTAATCCATCTTGCTCTGGCTGCTTTATTGACTTATATAATATATACAGTTATAGTTTGGATCTAGTAGGGGCCTGGGGGCCTCCTCTCTCCTCCGGGTCCTATGGGGGCCTGGTGAGAGGTCTGGGGCCTCCTCTCTCCTCTGGGTCCTGTGTCGTCCCCTGTGGCTGCAAGCGGCTCTCTGCTCCTGGTGCAGATGGCTCCCTGGATGGCGCTTCTTCAGCTGGATACATCCGCACCCAGCCCTATGTCGTTTAATAGTTTTACCTATTTTACCTGTCTATTGTGATTTTATATGTCTGTGTGTGTGTGTGTGTGTGTGTGTGTGTGTGTGTGTGTGTGTGTGTATGTGTGTGTGCATGTGTACGGGTATATGCATCTCGATAATAATTAATTAATTAATATATACAGTCTATGATCTCGATGTGTATATAATAATTAGGGTGGTTTTATGGGTTGGTCTTTGGGGTTTATTGGGCATGTTGTATTGATTTTGACTCCGCTGTAAAGCACTTTGTGTTGCATTTTATTGTATGAAAAGCGCTTTATAAATAAAGTTTGATTGATTGATTGATTGATGTAGTTTAGTGCTCTCTGTGATCCTGGTGTTTACATTGTGATATGCCTTTATATATCTAAATGTGAGCCATTAGAACTGACTAATCAGATGCTTACTGGTTTGCCTTAGTAACCATCTTAACATCACATCTTCCCCTTATATCGGCATTTGTTCTGACATTGTTAGCGTCGGGATATAAGGAAATAGGCTCCAGGTGGCTCATTTTCAAATTGGCTTCTTTCACGTTCACAAAAATGATGAATTTAACAACTTTAAGCAGGATTAATTACTATTGCAACAACACATCATCAGCTGGGTGAAAATAACCTGTCTCACCACAGTCTAAAACACAACTTTGTGATTTATTTCATCATCTTTATTCCTTTGTAGTATTGTATTTACTACGGTGAATTTATTTGTCAGTATTTGATTAAACATATATTTTAAGGGTGTTGCAACATCTGGACCAAATCTGGAAGGCCTTGATTCAATTTAAAACTTAGAATTACAAGTAAGAACAAGGACAGACAAGAAAGGAGATATTTTTCTGAATTTGGATGCAGCCATAGGCAAGCCACGTTTTCTATAGATCAGTTCACTTAGTAGTACCTCGCTATATCCTTAACTGTAATGTTCCCGTTTGTCAATATCGTCCAAATAAAATCAGTTATTATAATATTGACACGCACTACAGCTGTTCAACTATGACTTGATGCTAATAATTCACTAGTAATGATAACGTTATTTTTATATATTTTAGCGCTGCCTTGTCGCACAGTTATTACGTCATTGGGTCAGCTGTTCATGGAGGAAATAAGAGTTATTTTCATATACCGTCCTTTACATGGATCTATGGTCTTTTAGGATGTTTTTATCGTCTTTGCTTTAAGCGTGAGTAATATACAAAATACCTCTAGATCTATGCGTTCTATCTGACGCTTACGGGCTAATGTTTTGGCTAAATACATCTTTGTTGTGATGTAGTTAACAGGTTCACACATTCATTGCTTAAATGATGGTGGCTTGAAACGTTTTAATTAATTCAACCTTTGCAACCGAACAAAAAACGGCATAAGACAAAAGTTTAAATAGTTTAAACAAGGGATCGACATCGAGTGTCTTGAGCTTTATTCAATGTACTCAGTTCCATTTGTGTCTCATTCAAAGTGAAAATCGGCCTATTTATGATATTTCAACCCAAAATAAAAACAAATTCTTGTTTCAAATTCCATTGCCCAATCTGCTGACAGACACTAAAATATTTTCTTGATTTAAAACAAAAAAACTACTCAATTCAGGCATTTATTGACTCATTTTATTGATTACAATGTATTTTAAACTGCAGAAAACAGTCTGATAGTTTTAAGCTACTGTTTTCTGAAATGTGTAGGAATCAATCAACTTATATCAACTGTATATCAAATGTCACATTCACAATTAATTTGATATGTGCTCACTTACTTTTAAAACATTGTAAATTGTATCACAATGCTGCTATTGTGCCAAAATCATGCAGCGCTGCAACACAGGCTTATGTTTGTGATCAAATGTGATTCTTACTTTTATGTTTTCAGTCAGTGTGGACAAAGTAAACTACTCCAGGAACATCAACATTTTCGAGGTCACTGAAAAATGATTTAACAAGAGAACAATCTTGTACATTTCAGAACATGTAAGTAATTAATTGTTTGCTCCTTTAACTAGTATTTTTCTTCTTTTTAAAATCTGATTCATATTTGTGTTACGACTGTGCAATCGATCCAGTGTTCATTACTATGATCAAGGGGTCTCATGCTTGCCGCTCTGGAGCTACCAGTAACTAACCACTGTCTTAGCTACCCTAAGTAGCTCCCCAAAGAATTTAGAAATAGTAAATTATCTATTAATTGTTTCAACCCATGATTCGTATACTGTGTGCTCCAATAAATGAATTATAGGTGTTTTGTAGCTGTCTAATTAACTATTAGGTTGACTCAATTTATTTTGATCAAGCAGTCGTTTTCTGAAATTTTTGTCCTGGAAAAGCAGCTTTCTGCTTAGGTTCAAGCTCTCCCCTTACCGAATGTTAAAGGCTTGAAGTAAAAAGTAGTCCATTGATGGTAATATATTATGACAGTATTAACATACATTTTAAGAATAGAAACATAAATGTGTATTGTAAATTAATTTACATTATTCAAGAATGACAAGTTCAGGATTTAGTTGTTCATTGTTCTTGTTTTTGGCTATAGTTTATGCTTTGTAACTTGATGAATTGAGATTATTTTTATTTCAGGTAAGAATGTTTTGATAATATAACACATGTGTGCACCAGCTCTAACAATTTAATTGATACAAAACTATACAATTTCTCTATAAAATCAACCCAAACTATCAACGCTTCAACACCTCTCTCTTGTGCTGTGCAGTGCTGGGAGGAGCATGCAGCCGCTCAGAGATGCTCAGCTGGGGGCCTTCACCTTTTTCGCCTCGGCCTTGCCCCATGATGTGTGCGGCAGCAACGGTCTACCTCTGACCCCCAACTCCATCAAGATCCTGGGCCGCTTCCAGATCCTCAAGACGGTCACTCACCCCAGACTCTGTCAGTATGTGGACATCACTAGAGGGAAGCACGGTGAGCTGAGACCAGATAGGAAAGCTCGTTGACCAACCATCTTGAGATTTAAAGTTTATTTTTATCAGAGAAATAAGCACTCTCCTTACCAGTTCAATTTAAAACATACATTTTAAGTAATGACCTTGTACACATTTCCCAAACATTTCTGAACATGTTTAAAGTGGTCCCTCTCTATATTGAGGTTCACCTTTTGTGGCCTCACTGTTTTTGTACAGCATGCTTCTCAGGTGCTGCATGTATCCTCCAACAACATCATATACAACATCATATAACCACTAGTAAACGTGACAGTTACCTTTATTTAAAGTCAGAAGAAAACTTGTGTGTCTGGTTTGCACCACGTTCAGAGGACTTCAGCAATCTTCCCTCAGTCCTGCTCCTGGCCCTCAGTGTGGTGTCCTCTGCAGCTGTTTTTTACAGTCTACAGAGGTTTTTACAACATATCGCTACTAATTCGGAGATTTCAGTAAATCGCAGATTTTACTTTTGTGCAAGTTATTTTCAGAGGGTAACCCCAGAAATGAACGACAAACCACTGTATGTAGTTATAACCTACAACAATTTTTTATAGGAGTAATGAAAGATCCATTGCAAACAAATTAGTATTTACAAAAACATGAATCAAGTCCTTTTTTATTTTTTCCTCACAAAATTCTTACAGTCAGACTTGAGTTGTTCAGTACATTTTGACCGTTTGCAACATTTAAAGATGAGAAAATGATGCTTGTGACAATAACACTAAAGATACTTATTTATTATGAAATATTCAAAAGGTCTCAAGAGATATTTTCCCAAATTCAAGTCATTGTTTTCTGATCTTTAACCCGTTTTTTTCTTTACAATGGATTTTGATTTGCTAATGGGATCACAAAATTGCGATTTTGGTTTGGTGGTTCAGTGGTTTCAGTAGCAGCAAGTCACCGACTTGGAAAGTAAGAGTAGAGAACAATTAAGGCATAATAAAACATTTTATAAGTATAAAATGTTCTAAAATAGAAAAAATTAAAAAGTTAATTTGTGTGATTATTATTTTATACAAGTGCACTCGGTGCACACAATATACATTATACATTAAGCAGTGCAGTAAGGGGACGGCACCTTGTTTGATTTGTAACCCATGTTTTTGCTTGTGTTTTTGTCTTTCTCATCAGAACGGCTCATAGTTGTTGCTGAGCATTATGAAAGCAGTCTGGGTGACTTCCAAAAACGAGGACAAACTGTAAAGTAATGTATCTCTTTTTTTTGTCCGTAATTTAACAGTATGAGGTCTTCGTTTAAACACTACCCACACTCATCAGATATCAAAATCCCCCTTTCCCTTCCGTCTGACTGCTCCTAATTCAAACTTTGCAGGCTATGGCAAATCTGATGGTTTTCTGCCTTTTTAAAAACAAAATTATTTCTCAAAATTACAAGACATTCGCAACAGCTGTGTGCCTTGAATTGCGTAACTCCCTGTTAGATTACTGTTTCGTAAGCAGAATAGAATTTTCCTACACTAATTAACCAGTATTTTGCCTGTATATTTCAATTTTTGGGTCATTAGTCAACAACAACAAAAATCTAAAACACACAAAAACAGGATATGAGGATATGATTGCATATCATATCCTCTTTTATATAGTACAAATATAAAGACACTGTCTTACAGAAATAAAGTGGCAAAGTTAGAAGCCTATTTCACCTTACCCAACAATGAAATCATTGCATGTGATGATCCCAACCTAGATGTCTTCGAAATTATGCTAAAATCCTCAATTGCTTTTATTCCCAGTGGAACTTTTCCGGTTGAATAACGGTAAATAAATAAATAAACAATTCTGCTGTGCATTTAGATCTCATGACCACGTAACGCGTCAGGTGCTGATGGTATTTAAACCACATCTGGTACTTTGATCTGCACGTGCCCTGAAGAAGGCCCTACGTGGCCCAAAAGCGTAGGCTAGTTCCTATTTATTAAACGACTTTTACTGTTTTGAAGAGCCTAGGATTTTTTTTCTCTTATAAAATCTATGATTTACACACCTAAATTACTGAAGTATTGTTACAGTTGCCTCCACCCCTGCTAAAATGGTCTTTTTCTTCCCTTTAGAGCAGAGAAGGTGCTGCAGATAGCTTATGAAGTGCTGGAAGGCCTGGAGTTCCTGAACAAACACGGGATGGTCCACAGAGCTCTCGGAGGACACAACGTGCTCCTGGACTGCAAGGTTCCAAAACACAACTATAACTGAAAAGTTACAAATCTTCCTGAAAATGTCTATTTTAATATTCAAATCAGGATTCAGTTCAAATAGCTCTTAATGAACACATTGGCGTTTTAATCAATCCACATAATAACCGGCATGTGAAAACTGTTACGGCTAAAATGAAAGACCAGATCACATGTTTTGAAATGTCCCCAGTTTCCTACGCTAAAGGGGTTAGTAAAGCAAGCCTGGAGGTTACTTTCCTTAGCTTTCGTTGGCATTATTGCCCAATTCGGATCCTTCCATCATGCTGGTCAGAACACCAGCTTCTGGGGCATCGATAAAGAAAGGAATTTCCTTGATGTTTTATGGTATTCAAATATTATCTGAGCTTCATTTGTCAAAGCCAGAATATTCTGGTTACAAACATGTGATTGTAATGTGGACTATTTGTGATTTAATAAAAACATTACAATGTTATATTAAATGGACATGTGTATATTCTTTGCAGGGCAACGTCAAGCTTGCTAAGTTCGGGCTCTATCACATGACTGATCACGGAGCAGATGTGGACTTTCCGGTCGGGTAAACGCACTAGTGTTACACACATCTCTGTTTGCGGTTACTCAAAGATGTGGGAGAATGGATGCATGACAAATTATTACATTTATTCATGGGGATCATAGGGAGTTTTGAAATGTTTCTTTGATTGTATCCACAAGGTATTTTATAATAAGTAAAATTGGCAATTTCCTTTTTGCTGGTCGGTGTAGATCCGTGGCTACAGTGAAACATCTGTCTGGTAGATGTGATTGATTAGTGTATATAACTTACAAATGTCAAACAGCTACACATGTACATACTTTCTGCGGCTCTGAGAAACACCGGATAGCTTCTGTAAATACCTGTTTGTGACCCTTTTTCTTAATCAAAATTGCTTTCACTTTGTCATTATATTGTAGTAAATATGTTCTGAACAAGAATACTTTTAGCCAAATTAAATTATATGGTAACCGGATGCAAACTGGTTCCAATGTGCACCCCACCCTGGAGAAATTTACTACCCACCCCTGCTTCAAATACCCCTGTTTCAAATGTTATATGCTTTGGTGAATCCTTGCACTTTAGTTTTCTGCCTCAAAACAGAACTATTGCTTCCAAATTAGTTCTTTACACAACGTTCTTTGCATCTGCATGGTTGTGTTTGCTGCATGCATTGTTTGATGTGGAAAAAAATAATAAAATTACACCTTACTCTGGTGGTAGAAGCAGTGAATTACATGTTGAGGCAACTCTTTTAAAGTTCACTCCCTGATGAAAGCAATGTCAATTTTTCATGTTTTTGCTTTTCTAAGATCTCCAATTACAAAAAATTATGTGTTTTTGTTTTTTTAACTCGTAGTTTTTGTTGTTATTGGCCTTTAATTTTATATGGGTGGGATGCAGTTTGATCTACTGAAATCTACCTCATTGGGGCCTCTCTATATGCCTAGAGAGGCCCCAATGAGGTAGATTTCAGTTCCAAGCTTCAAGTACAGTAGATATAGTGACTCAGTGATCCACCAAATGCTGTTAATCCTTTACATCCTCCAAAACATGAAAGTAAAAAGTCATCATTATTGTAATATTATATTTCTGCTGTATGTGTTGGTCAGGTACCCATCATACCTGGCTCCAGAGGTGATCGCTCAGGGGTCCTTTCATTCGAGTGACCGTTCCCATGACGATGCTCCTCCTCCGTCTGGACCTAAATCTGACGTGTGGTCTCTGGGGATCCTGCTGTTTGAACTCTGTGCCGTACGTGTCTGGAAATGAGATCTTGACACTTGAAAGATTGCATACCCTGGCTGAAATGTTGATATTCTGGAGATTAAGAATGATAATGTACCATGTTTTTCTTTCTTTCACTCATTGTTAGTGGTTGTGTGAACTAGGGCTGAAAGATAGAAGACCAAACCTGGGAAAAGCGAGGAATCTGGCCCAATCCACATTTCTATGCGGCCCCCCAGAAACTCCCCAGTTGTTAGTCCCATACCAGTCTGTTGCTTCTTTATAAGAAGAGGGAGCAGGGTCTGAAATCAGAGCTGTTTCAGGCTGTTGTGGCACCAATGACAGTTGGCATTGCTGCTTAAAGCAATAGTTTACACACCAGAAAGTCTCATTCCACCCTTGTTTACACACTAAGATAATTGTAGAGCTACACACCTGAACCATAGAACTATCTCAGCAGCTGTGGTTGTCCACTCATGTAATTTAATTTGAATCCACTAGATGTCACCAGAATACTCCAATACAGACACACGTCACACATACAAACTGACGTCACACAGAATTTCAGAGTCAATGGAGAGGCCAGGACTAAATTCAAATGTGGTACCTCTGAAAAGGTTTGAGAGGGCGCCACACTTACGTTTTTAGGCTCAAAAGTGAGATTTTATCTCATTCATAATGTCCACACTTTGGCCAGAATAATGAAATCTTTGCCTGGTTGTTGTAAACTTTACAAGCACAACTGAAGCTCTCCTAACTTACTGTACCCATGTCTTACCACAGGGAAGGCGGTTATTGCAAAATATTGAAATAAGTGAGCGACTGAAGTTTATCTTGACTCTGGGTGAGTGGAATAAAGGCACGTGTTCAAAGCCGAGTGATGTCAAGTTAACATGTTGTTGTTTGCAGGCTGCATGGATGACATTGTTATCGTGCTGGCTGAGGAACATGGATGCCTCGATAAAATTAAGGTATTTTCAACAATTTCAAGATGAATTTCAATTTTTATTTATTATTTTCTAAAAATAAATTTTCTAATGTTTTATTTGTAGGACCAGCCTGAAATTGTCCTGGAGTTATTAAGGAAATGCTTGACTTTTCTTCCATCCAAAAGGTAAATGTGCACAGTGTGGATTTTATTTCAATATATTGATATATTTATCTAACATCAGTTGCCAATACAGCTCTATGGGACGGAAGCCATTTTTGATAGATAGAAAAAAGAAAAAAAAGCCCTTTTATTTTCCCGGATCATTATTTGATTGTAATTATATATTTTGAAACAGTAAAATGTTTTCGGAACTACAAATCAATCAATTTACTTAATTTCAAAAAACAGTTTTCGTTCTATAATATTACAGGACTTGCCAGTAAAAAAAAAAAAAAAATTCTCATCAACCCACCCTCTCACTGCTCAATAGCACTATAAAAACATTCTGCACCAGAACTGACCGGGGCCACAAGGCACACCACAAGAGAGAGGGACAGCTCAACCCATTTATTTATGTCGTTGTTATCATGAGTTCAGCTTTAACTTAATTGCTTCAAAAGTTTCAAAAGAGATCATCCAATCAGTGTCTGTATTTAATTGTTGCCATTTTAACTTCATACAGAGACTGAAAGGTGTCCAAGATGAGGGCCTATGATGCTGCAGTGGTTGATGTGTGCTCTGTCCTTCCTCCAGGCCGACCCCTGCAGAGTTGCTGACAGACCCACTGTTCTCTGGACTCTCCTGCTGCTCCGCCCCCTTCCAGAAACCAGTCCCCCTGTTTTCCTCGTCTTTGCGTTGTGCTCACTTAGAACTCCCTGAAGACATTAATGAACTTTGCAAAGGTTTGTCTTATTTTCCTCTCAGCTACAGGGCTGGATATCTCTCACTTTACGTGTCCAGTATCTCGTATATTAGTTCTGGACTTTGGACAATACTCAAGTTTGACCTGTAAGGCTTCGCACAACTGCTAATGAGAGTGGAGGAAAAAAAACATAGTTATTGTGACTGAGAGCTTTCACAAAGTTATTGTGTTATCGTTTATAACGACCAAAAAAAATGACCATAACAAGGACATCCCCAGCCTGGTTTACCACAGTACAAATTACATTTTGTACTAAGGTCTGGAGGTGCTCCATTGAGCTCAAGGGTTAACTCCTTTTGCAGATTGAAAAAATTGGATCTGAGTTTACCGTCACTAATGTAATGCGCCTGAGTGAGTCCTTAGCATTTAGCATTTAGCCTAGCCATTTCCTTTGGCTCCGCTTTCCTCCGCTAACGGAGCCCGTCAGAATCTTTGCCAGCAATGACTTTAGCTATACATTCCTCTTGCTCCGGCTTCAATTTCTTGATAGAACCAGACCGGAATACTTTACTATCGCTTTCTTTGCCATTGCCAAACCACAACCAGCCCGTTTGACACAAACTCTTGACGTCACCCACAACTAACTACAACACCCGCCTCCCGCTCTCGCTGATTGGTCGGATGGAATTCAACCGATGTAATCGCAAACACAGGGACCAAACCCAGACGTATGATGATTGACCGGAGTGTACAGATGTTAAGGCCAGGCTATGACATTCCTGGCTGGGTGTACAAAGTTTCAAGCACAACTGTATATAATTATGAAGATATTACATTTACAATTTACCATTTAAAAGCCTTAAAGGAATAGGCCACCGTTTTTACATACTGACATATGTTCTTACCTTACCTTAGACTAGTTGACATGTGCCTGTGTGATCTTTGTCCGTGTGCTCTGTCATGCAAACGGAGCACAAACTCAGCCTCTTCCACATACTGTATAGTAACAAATCAGCTCTCGCTCACTTCCGTCAATAGAAGCAGCGTGACTTGTAGTACGTACAGGAGTGGGAGAGAAGTCTTTAGGAGTTAGTGCGCGGACTACAAATCCTCGTATTAATACGCTCCACGTATTATTACGCCTCACAATATAGTACGTCTTTTTATCCGCTGAGAAAATTGACATGTTACATTTCTGTGTTACTATACTTTGTAGTGTAACACGTCACGTAACTGTATTTAAATAGGGAACACGTGGAAGAGTTTGGTAGCTTCTAACGGGAGCTTATATGGAACTATACAGAATGTGGAAGAGGCTGCGTTTGCGCTCCGTTTGCATGACAGAGCGCACGGACAAAGACCAGACAGGTACATATCAACTCATTGAGAAATTGGGAAATTGATGTATATGATCTATGTATGATTAGAAACTGATGTATGTGATTTATGTAAGATGAGAAATGTACTGAATGTGTTAATGTATCATCTGAATGTGTGGTTGGGACATGTGTATTGTGTAGGTGTGATGCTGTGAATGAAGTGTGGTTTTAACAAACAGGTATGAGGCTAAATGTGTGTGTCTGTATTAGAGAGAATGTGTTGTATTGCAATGTTATTTTTTTAGGATTGTACATTACTGTATCCATGTATCTTTAATGATGTAACCAGGGACTGCAGATGGAAACTAGCTGTTTAGCTATAATCTGGTGCAGAACATATCTGTCTTTGAGCTTAATGTCTCTGTACACTGTCCCTTCAAATAAAGACTAAACTAAACTAAACTAGTCTAAGGTAAGAACATATGTCACGACAAAGACATAAAAGCCGGGAAACTTGAAATGACGCCTGCTTTTGCCGAAACATGCACTTACAAATATTTTTTCTTTGTGCTTACACTTGCAGATGATGATGAAGAGTACCTGTTGGAGAGAGCTATAGATGAAGTCTACCACCTGTGGTGTTTGGCGGGAGGAGACCTGGAGAAGGAGCTAACCAATAAGGGCATTATACAGTCCAAGCCTCCCATATGCACGCTGCCCAAGTACGTCAGGAGAAACTGCTACCAAAAGGAGATCAAATCAATTCTAATATATTTGTTTTTTATCAGTTTTGTCTTAGAGGATGGGGAGACATTTGGACAAGCAAGAGATCGGAGTTTCCTTCTCGACGACACCACAGTTACACTACCTCTGTGTCAACTCAGAAATGTAAGACAAGAAGCACTTCACATTAAACATGGTCATATTAAAGCTGAGCTACATAATTGTTTATAGTTAGCTGATCCAAAGATGTGACGGAGGCCAAAGATGCATGTATGTGAAAACTAGTTGGATGGATTTAAGGAGGTATGAATTTTAAGAGTTAAGAAAAAGACAAAAGATGCAGAGGTCTGGGATCGTGTCAAAGCAAAGACATTTTATTCTTGGTAATGAGACACGACCAAAGTTTTGCAGCATGCATGTGATCTTATACCAGTCGAATCATGGTCGCTCCTCCGAGATTCTGTGACGGCACCAGTGGATGTTGACTTCAGATAACCAAATCATCAAGTGGAAGATCCAATCAGTGTCTGTATTTAATTGTTGCAAATTTAACTTCATACAGAGACTGAAAGATGTCGGCGGAGAAGCATACTATCCTCTCCTTGAAGATGAGTACGTTTGCTTCCTCAATTATGTGCAGGCAGATTTCATATTTCCATTATTTCAACTCTATTGTTGGTTCTTTCAGGCAGTCCAGTCTCCCCCAGTCCAACAGCAGCAACGAGCTCTCCTCCAGTGTCACGCTGCCACTCATCATCCGCGAAAGAGACACAGAGTATCAGCTCATCCGAATTATCCTCTTCGACAGGCTGCTCCAGGTCTTTGGCGCCACTGTCTCCTCTTACCATCAAGATCTGAGAATTCAACCTGTATTTAAATTATAATGTACTATATTATAAGTAGTAATAATATTCTATAGTGGTATATGAATGAAAAAACTATACCCTGAGCGTGATGAAGGAAAAGGAAGGACGTAATTTTGTATGAATTTGGATGCAGCCCATGTCACTTGCACTCCTAATGGGATAGACATTATAATACAGTAACAAATGTGTTTTCTTTTCTTCTCTTTTGAATATGATAACTCTGCATTGTTCTAGGCTTACCCTTACAAGAAGAATTCGGTGTGGAAAGAAGCCAGAGTGGACATCCCACCACTTGTCCGGGGTCTCGCCTGGGCAGCACTGCTCGGCATTGAGGTACGCAACACAATCCTAAACAAAAAATAAGGTTTTCTATAAAGGGTTATAACTGATTCATGTTTACAGGGCGACATTCAAGACAAGTACAACGGGATAGACAAAGACACTCCCATTCCCACTGACAGACAGGTGACGTTTTCAGACACATTAAGGTTTTCTATTATGACTAGGAAACAACCGATTATTTAGTTTGCCAATTAAAAAAATAATTGACAAACCAATTACTGATGTTTTTAAAATTAAAAAACATCATTAATCGGCAAGATGAAAAGATTGTTGATGTTTTGTGGTTTTTTCCATCATTGGATATTACTGCCCCCACTCAGCCACCAATTTGGTCAAACTTTAACTCCACCAATGTAGGCAAGTTTAACCTGTAAGCGTGGTTCACAATAACTGTTGCAATTCTAACTCACTTAAATATGATTTATTTGTGGATGTAAAACCACCAACAAGTCTGTGGAATTACATATATATATATTATTGAATACTTGGAACATTCTACCTCTAGCATGCTTTTACTGTGTATGTTGTTTAATGAAATAAACATTGTACGGATTTTAATTATAACTGATCCCAGTGAGGGGACTGAGATAGCGTTATTCTCACCTGAAATCCAAAACGTATTATAAATCGGTCCAATTTTGTTTTAAAGGCACTGTTGATTCTGTAAATACTGACAATCTAAAATACAGCAATATGTTACTACACACAAAAATTTACACACAAAATTTTACTACGCCAAATTTTGAGATTTTATACTTATCTAAAGATAGACATTGTATGCTTGTGTCTTTGATGCTAGAGTTAGAGATTGTATTCTATTTTAATTGGCATTGCTATCGTTAATTTATCTTGTGCTGTGTGTTCCTCATTCCTACTGTTCTGCAACACTGAAATTTAACTACTCAGGATATCGACTGAACGTTATCCAATGCCAGTTTTGTATTAGTGTATCTTTAATTCAAACACTTGTATCGTTTTGTATCCTTGAACCTCTAGAATTCAGCAGCAAGTGGGACCATAAGCAAACACCTTTCAGGCAACTTGAGCTTTATTAATAGAAAAAAAATGCTAATTGGTCATTTCCTAATCTTTACTATGCAGTTTTGCTTAATTGGTTGTGATGTTTTGGGCGCAGATTGAGGTCGACATTCCACGTTGTCACCAGTACGACGAGCTGCTGTCCTCCCCCCAAGGCCACATGAAGTTCAGACGTGTGCTCAAAGCTTGGGTAGTCTCCCATCCCAACCTCGTGTACTGGCAAGGTCAGTGGTCACTTTACCATCTCATGTGACGCCTCCTTTCGTATCCCTCTTGTACTATAATTTGCTTCTTATAAAAGCTCCAGGTGTGATCAAGTAAAAGTTATTTTTCAAGACTTGTAATGCCAGTTCAAAATTAAATGAATGCCACCAAGTCAATATTTAAAAGAAGGTAGTACTTCAGAATTTACATGATTTTTCATATCATGTCTTCTTATCAAATAGTAATAGTACAGCTAACATTTATTTTATGTAAGGATGAGTTATCCCATTTGTTAAAGTGGAAGTATTTTTGTTATTGTTTTTGATAAAATAACCAATTAGGTTTTTTTTTGTAGGTTTGGATTCACTTTGTGCCCCTTTCCTTTACCTCAATTTTAACAATGAAGGTACTGTATATACATTGTATCGGCTCTATATTGAATGAAGTTTTATTGTGATACTTTGTTCTTTTCCTGTTTTTAGCACTAGCTTATGCGTGCATGTCTGCCTTCATCCCCAAATATTTGTATAATTTCTTCTTGAAGGACAACTCCCACGTCATCCAAGGTAATACAATATTTGTTTGAAGTTGATATTTGCTCAGGGCTTCATATACTTGAGTGTATCTTATTGCCAATACTACGTCAACTGTCCTCATAAAAAGAAAAAAACATGTCAAAGAGCAACTCAAGCATTCTTTTAATATTCCACCTGTACATTAAAGGGACAAAATATATGCGTGAAATGTGCATCGAGGGAAATGGTGCTCTTAACGTGATTCATCAATCTCAATGTGAGCGTTTGGTACGCTCAGATCCCACGACACGACTGGAAGCTTTGTACGCTGATTTCATAAACTGAAAAGGGAAAATTACTTTTAACCTCTGAAAACTTGTTGTTCCTGAATCTTTCATCCATTTGTGTGTTAAAGGTAAATATACAGTTAGTTTACATGCAGCAATATTCAGAATCCTGGTGGCTGTCCTCTCTGCTCTGGGTCTGGGGCAAAATAATTATACATGGTTTTCCATTGACGTCACGCACTACCCACAATTCCGCAGTTTGCCATCTTGCAAGTCAGGCCGGTGCTAGTTGTAGGTGAACAAAGCATATCACTTTTTTGCGCTAAAACATGCCGACTGCCTGCATCGTTTGGGGGTGCAGTCACCGTGCAGATTGTGGGGACATTCCAAAGCCTATTACGAGCCAGGGGAGCGACTCAGAGCTGCGATTTGACTGTGATACTAAGTCTATATAGGCGCCTCGAGCCTCCCATCTAAATGAACGAGACAGAAGTGATTTACGGCCTGTGATATTAACTGCTTCGTTCAAATTAAATTATTGATTGAAAGAAATATTGCTTCATGTACATCATGACCTTTTTTAATTGTAAAACTGTTTAGTTGAAGTAAGCCATTTCTGGCAAAGTCCACTGGTCAATGGATCCAAATCTCCGATCACTCTCAATTTCTCCAAGGATCTTGCCTCACAGATTACTCCAGTGTGTCAATATACTTAACGTGGTCAGTGTCGGCCGAATTCGTGGCTTTAGATAACATGGGGACAAATGATCCGTGACCAATTATCCATGACAAATGATACGTGCAATATAAGCTTGACTCGCATCATGGCGTCCGCGCAAAGCATCATGGGTAATAAGCACGTGATGGAAAACCATTTTTTAAGAGTCTGTTGCATCTCATCATTGCGGCTCATCAACCATGCTGTCCTACGGGTGTGCAGAATTCTGCCCAGCGTGCAGCCTGCTTGTCTGCTGTCTGTACATTTCAGTGGAGCAGATTAACATATCTATCTTTTTGTATGTATTTATCATTCAAATGCCGTATTCTACAAGTACCCGTCTTAACCTTATTGAGTGTGCTATTCAATCCGTGCCGGCTTTCCACACGTCGCATTTATCATCTCCTGTTTCCTGCATCAGAGCGCTGCACATTCATTCATAAATGCCACTCTTACTTTCCCGTACACATTTTTTTTAACGTGAGGTAGGTACTGCAACATTGTTAAATTGCGCCGAAAGTGTGGTGCTGTGGCAAGAGCTCTGGTGTGTGTTAGCCTGGTGCACACTGCACAGTTTTTCCAATGTGGTTTCAGTGCAAATGGCAAAAACATGCTGGAATCTTGCATTAGGCCCACTGTGTTTTTTTATATGGTGGCTCCAATCTTGTTGGACATTTATTTCATAGGCTACTTCCACACAAATCAGCCTACCCCACACACCCTCCACCAGAAACTGAGTTCAATGTAGCTGACTGTGATGAAGAGAGCCAAGCCCAAAGGCAAAGCTCTCCATTTACCGCGGCACGGTGGCTGAGTGGATAGCACTCTCGCCTCTCAGCAAGAAGGTCCTGGGTTCGAATCCCGGTTGGACCAGGGCCTTTCTGAGTGGAGTTTGCATGTTCTCCCCGTGTCTGTGAAGGTTTCCTCCGGGTGCTCCGGTTTCCCCTACCACTAAAAATATGTACAATAGGTCTGGCATGTGCCTCCTGTACTGGCACCCCCACTCCCAAAAATCACAATTGTAAACCGCTTTGAGACTCCGATGTGCAGTGAAAAGGCGGTATATAAATAAAGATTACTACTAACCGCTAAGCCTTACGGTCCCTTTCTCACCTATACTCTAATACAGTGGTCCAAATGAATTGAGTGGGGGTAGAGCTTGCAGTAGAGCCGAGCCAGTTGAGATGCAGGGCAGGGTATGTCCCTTAGTAAGGAGCCCATGAGTAAGAGCTAGAAGATATTGGTGATTAGACTGCTGCGGATAAAGTGTAAGAGAGGGATAGATACTTTGAGCTATCTGCCACATTTAGGACCTTGCAAAGGCCATCCTCAGCACTATCTTCAAGTGAATACTATTTAGACAATGAACTTGTTGTCCCACAGAGTACCTGACCGTCTTCTCCCAGATGATTTCCTTCCACGACCCCGAGCTCAGCAACCATCTGAACGAGATCGGGTTCATTCCAGATGTGAGTGGACATCGGACCACACTTAGTTTATAGCTTTACCTTCATTTATAGACGCTGAAAATCCCCTGTTATGAACACTGTATAAACATCCTCTGTTCCTTCACAGCTTTATGCAATTCCATGGTTCTTGACAATGTTTACACGTAAGTATCACATAAAATAATATGTCATTCCATACATTTTTTGTGCTCTATATTAGGAAAGATAAGTTAAAAAGTTAATTTAATTTTAAGAAGCATTATTCCAAGCCTTTGTAAATTATCATGGTTTCTGAGTTTGTAATAACCCCAAAAAAATATCTATGGGCCAAATATCAACATTATACAAAATAATGGGTTGATATATCAGTCATGTATTAGTTTCACATTTTAAGTTGAAGTACAAACATAAATGGTCCTGTGAAAAACTGAGAATCTTTCACCGCATGATAGCTCAATTTCTTTCAAATATCAACATATGTGAAAACAGTTTCTACTTCTATAATATACACTGCATAGAGACTTTGCTCTTATCTTCAAATGTAGACGTATTTCCATTGCACAAGATCTTCCACTTGTGGGACACTCTTCTCCTGGGGAACTCCTCATTTCCCTTCTGTATCGGCGTGGCCATCCTGCAGCAGCTTCGCGACCGCCTCCTGGCCAACGGCTTCAACGAGTGCATCCTGCTCTTCTCTGACCTCCCAGGTAACACAACCAGTGCATCCTCTCCTCCTCCCAGGTAAGTGGAAAGAATGACACAAAGGGATCAGAGGAAGCAGCGGTGAATCATGGCTGTAGAGATGATAAATGACCATAGTTGGGTGTAACTAGTATTTGTAAACATTAATCAGATAACTTTGTTCAGTAACTAAGTGGTGTAATGCTTAGAATACGATGAAAAGGTTGGGGAACACTGGGTCAAACCACGGGGAAAACCCCACAGCATCATAAACACCTAAAACGTGTTTGCTGTTCAGTCATATCTGAAATCACTAATTTGTTGGTAACCGATATTATTATTTTTTTTTTTATATTTTATATGTTTTGCCCAGTAACCCCAGCCATGTTTTAATAGTCTGTTAATATTATTTTTGTGCTGTCAGTTTAATGTTATTATTTTATCTATTTTTTTTTGTTCTAATGTAATTTATTTTATTTTATTTATTTTAGTAAAAAAAAATTAAGTTACGAGTTGTAAGATAAGATAAGATAAGATAGACTTTATTGATCTCACACAGGAGAAATTATCTCTCTACCTCCCATGCATGAGCCTTTCCGCATCAAGAGACACGTGTGCTGAGTAGGGGACGTAAGGTACAGCAGGTGTTGGAGAAAACAAAAGCAGCACTGGTGATTACTGAATGTCCATCAGGAATCGCAAATATCTCAAGGTTACAGCCCAAATCAAGAGACATTTAGAATAGATAAAGATGTGCAATTAAAATTTCTTTGACGCCACTATATTATTTACAACAAAATTGGGTCTGAATTAACACCAGATTGTACCAACAAAAGAACCAATGCATATCTGTGGCTTCACATGCAATTGAACAATAATCATTTATTGGTTATTTATTTTACTAATACACTAAACACAATCCAATTAAATTAATCTGTGTACCCTACAATCATTTCTGTTTGTGTTTCAAAATACAATCAATGATCTAGATTCTAAGGGTACACAAAAGGATCAGCACAATTTGATGATTGAAAATTAGCAACATCCTTTTTTTGAATGTGTGTTTTTTGCCTCACAAGGAACCTCTCGCACCTTAAGCCTCACGCAGGGGGCTGCAAGACGATTCAGGTCTGAAGATTCTGAACCGTCTTGCCCGTCAGATCATTTTTCTCCACTTCTGCTTGTTCCTTCTGCTTGCACAGCGACTCTGTGGTATGACCAGTTTGACCTGTGTATGAAAGACCTAACCTAACTGTCTTTTGTGCACAGAGATTGACATTGAGAGATGTGTGAGAGAATCCATAAGTCTTTTCTGCTGGACTCCCAAAAGTGCCACCTTCAGACAACACGCGCAGCCTCCCAGACCTCCAGGGGACAACGGCTTCGGAAAACCCATGTCGCCATTCTCCTCTGATTACCAAGATATGACAAAGACTGAACTGGTTAGTGCTCTCTTGATGACCCCCAGATTATAACCTGCGTAATTGGGGCGTAAACATAGACAAGCAGCATATGTCCAAGAATAGTTGTCTCTTACTGTATATAAAGTGAACTATGCACGTAGACACATAGCATTGTCCATCTACACTCACCGGCCACTTTATTAAATACAAATTGCTAGTACTGGGTTGGACCCCCTTCTGCCTTCAAAACTCTATTAATCCTTTGTAGCATCGATTTAACAATTCTCAACTGGCACTAAGGAACTCAAAGAGTGCCAAGAAAATATCCCCCACACCATTACACCCCCACCACCAGCCTGAACCGTTGACACAAGGCAGGATGGATCCAATCTTCTATTGGCCAATTTCAGTGAGTCTATGCAAATTGTAGCCTCAGTTTCCTGTTTTTTGCTGACAGGAGTCACATCTGGTGTGGTCTTCTGCTGCTGTAGCCCATCTGCCTCAAGGTTTGAAGTGTTCTGTGTTCAGAGAGGCTCTCTTGCATACCTTGGTTGTAACAAGTGGTTATTTGAGTTACTGTTGCCTTTCTATCAGTTCGAACCAGTCTGGCCATTCTCCTCTGACCTCTAGCATCAACAAGGCATTTTGGCCCACCGAACTGCCTGGATTTTTTCTCTTTTCGGATCATTCTCTGTAAACCCTAGAGATGGTTGTGTGTGAAAATCTCAGTAGATCAGAAGTTTCTGAAATACTCAGACCAGCCCATCAAGCACCAACAACCATGCCACGTTCAAAGCCACTTAAATCACCTTTCTTCCCCATTATGATGCTTGGTTTGAACTGCAGCAGATCATCTGGACCATATCTACACGTACATGCGTAAATTGAGTTGCTGCCATTTGATTGGCTGATTAGGAATTTGCATTGAAGTGGAGTTGGATATGTGTACCTAATAGAGTGTATATAACAATCTAACCCTCAATCAATGAAGCCCAAGAGAGAAGTGCTCAGGGACAAAGTTTTACAATATACAAGTGCACTTGGTGCACACAATATGCAGTAAGCTGTGCAAAAGGTGATAGCAGATAGCAGATCATGAAGGGCAGTAAGGGCAGGGGAGCAGGTTATGAAGTGTTCATGAGTCCAACAGCAGAGGGGAAGAAACTGTACTTATGGCGGGAGGTTCTGGTCCGAATGGACCGCAGCCTCGCCTGATGGGAGAAGTTGGAACAGGCCATGTGCCGGGTGACAAGCTGGCCTCAAGCTCGGGCGTCGTAGAGGTCCTGCAGTAATGGGAGGCTGCGGCCAATGACCCTCTCTGCAGAGCGCACAATGCGCTGTAGTCTCTGTTTGTCCCTGACTGTGGCTCCAGCGAACCACACGGTGATGGAGGAGGTGAGGATGGACTCGATGATGGCCGTGTAGAACTGCAACAACATCTGTGCAGGCAGCATGGCTTTCCTAAGCTGCCTCAAGAATTACATCCTCTACATCCCTCCCTCTTCATGAGGGAGATGATGGTCGGCTCCCACTTCAGGTCCTGTGTGATGGTAGTCCCCAGGAAACGAAAGGACTCCACAAAGGTGATGGAGGAGTCCATCAGGGAGGGCGGGGGCAGGAGGACTGCGCTTTTATGCTGCTTTCAGACCGCCAACGCTGGAACCAGAATACCAGAATAAATAAATACAAATACAGCATTGTAGCTCACAACAAAGCCAAAAAAACGTTTCTAGAGAGGGACAAGAAATATCTTTTTATGAACACATTTTAAGGAATTAATATTTCTTACACATTAATTTAAGACCAAAAGGATAAAATACAGTTATATACCTGATTTTGAGCCACGTTGTTAATGTTGTTGCCTTCTGCCATGTTTAGTTTTGCGACAATGAAGTTGATCAACTCTGCGCAGGCTCGATTGTTAATGTCTGTGAGCAGTGACGTAATATTGACAGTTTGCACACTGCTGAAATTCGTATTCTCAAAAAGAAAATGCAAGCACACAAAAAAATATTATTCACAAGTAATAACATAAAACTATATGTGTGATTTTTTTTTATTCTTAATTACGAAATTACATGTCTTTTGAGTTTGTATTATCTTAATCATGAATTCATGAAATATTTCAAAATATTTCACAATATTTTATGCCCAAATACCAATAAATATGCACCCATTTTTTTAGACATGCGCGTCTTTATTGACAGTAACCTTACCCCAAGGACAAAGGACACTAAAATCCCCACAAAATCCGACCTTTATGAAAGCTGTGGGTTCTCTGTCAGCTGAGGTCGAGTACATGGGTCCTTCAGCTATAGGCTAGGAATACCCTATTGAGATTTTATAATAGATCCGTGGTACTGACACCCAAACATACAACACAGACAAGCCAAGCGACCAGCTTCTGGAATTATAAACAGCAAGCGGGACAAACGTCAACTATTTGCAGAGTTTTATAGTGTAGCGTCTGGCGCCCCAAGCTGCCGAGCGGATAAATGGTCCAAAAATGTGAGACAGGCTTCTACTCTGACAATTCAAATCCAGGTTAAAAACTGTTCTGTTTTATTTTGTCAATTATAAAGCGCAAAAAACCAACTGTTTCAAAGCTACTCAGGACTTCCTGCCGTTTCCATCGCATTCAAAAGTGTGGATTTAAAGATAACTGAAGGAATTTATGAGAAAAAAGTTCAGGATGACAAGGGACACTAAAATCCTATGAAGGTTATTTTGTGTTTTTATTATCAACACTTTTTTTTTGCTTTTGAATTCTATAAACTGTGACAAAAAAGTATTCAGTGTAAATAAATTCAATGTTTTAAAATTCAGTGTCAAAATATTCACTGTTTTCAAATTCATTGTCAAAAAATTCAGTGTCCAAAAATTCGTAGATTTTTTTTTTTCGCTGCTTGAAATGTCATGCTTTAGTTCTGGGTAAATCAAGACAGAAGCAATTGATCAGCCAATCCTCAATAGATGTAGCCAGGGCCAGAACACGACTTTGGCTTTAATCCGAATGTCCACACTATACCGTGCGGGACTATTGTGAGTGAGTGACTGAGTGAGTGGACTCATTCTGATGGCGATTCGGACGCTGCACTATTATCAGGCCGTGCTGTTGTACATGAGCGTCCCGCTGTAGCATGGATCACAGAGCGGAGAGAGGAGCGGCCATGACAAGGTGAAGGTAAATGTTGAATTTACGTTTTAATTAGGACATAACATTTAATTGTATTAACATTGGAGGTGGGAAATAGCCCCTTCTATTGTTATATCAGAGGTCTGTTGGTGATTAAACAGATTTTCTTTGGACTTTTTCTCCAGCCTTGAGCTCCAATGCTAACACGCTAACCACGGGTGTAGAGCTGCGCTGATGCCCAGAATGGAGCGTCATGCCCTGGGAGTCATTTTGAGAGCTCCCTTATGCTAACAGTCTTAACTGTGGAAGTAATTATGAAACCCCATACTTTCTCTGTTATAACAATTGTTTTAAGAGTAATCATTAGTCTTAAAAATGTGATATTTCATGTAAATAATGCATGTGTTTAGTGCGATTGATGGATTTGCTATGGCCCTCGTTTGTGCATCACTTAGTTGTAAAGTCATTTGTATTAAGTACAAACGTGATAATGTGCATTTACTGATGACAGGGGGACATCTGTGAACATGAAGCTGGACACAGAAGACGCGTTGAACTTACAGACCAGATTTAAGGTCATGAGTACTTACTTTTTGAGCACAAGCTTCTTGCCTCTTGAAATCCAACAGACCTGATCATGTCAATGGCTTAAATGTATTTAAGATTAGAAGTACTTAAATAAAAGCTATGAAACATGATTCTCACGGATTGTGTGGTTGGATAAAACAAACGCATACATCACTTTTCATTGCACACAAAGAACTAAATCATAATAATTTTATTTTATTCCAGCTTGTGATGAGTCCACCATAGAAAAGACAGTCAGAGGCAGACGTCCAGGCACCTGCTGCTGCTGCTGCTGCTGCTGCTGCATGTCTTCAGAAAATGAGAGATGTGTTCTAACTATCCATGACTTGTAATTAATAAAACAAATGAACATATTGGTCGTTGTAGTTTATATCGTAATCCACAGGAGCTGGAGGTGATGGAAATGGATGAAGAAATGATGCCTCTGAAAGACAGCTGCCTCTGGAAAAGAAATTCACACAAAAAAATCATTAATTAAACGGTTCTTCTGGGATTAAAATCAGCCTTTTGTTACAATCAGACATGTCGACATATATGTTCATATACATGTACTGTCCCAGTCAAATTAATTAACACAAATACACAGTAGTAGAGTAGAAACAGACGCTCTGAGGAGGAGCAGAAGTACGATGCCTTTACAAACACACACATGAACTTAACATGTCATATCAACAGTAAATGTAAATACATTGCCTTCATTCCATCTTGGTTTCACTAAGATGTCAAAATTTAAGAGTAAAGATAGAATAATTATCGTCTGCTCTGTCTCTAAAACAGTCAGCAGGTTTCGTCCTTGCTGCACTGCTAGAGTAATATACACATTGAAATTGGGAACATATGTCACACAAGAACCGCAAACCCCCATGTACTTGGCTTTGCTGTGTTTCATTTTAGCTTAGCATTAGCGAAAATCAGCTTTGGGGAATCGCCAAAACATAGAAGACACCTACGCGGAGCTAGCTAATGATAAAGTAAGGTAAAAACATGTTCAGAAAGTACATACAGTAGTGGTTTGTGTGTTACATACCAACTAATGATGAGAAAACACACTTACTGGTTTGCTGTGGACGCCATGTTCAGATGAACAAGACAGTCGTGTTCCGGCCCCGGCTACATCTATGGAGGATTGGCTGATCGATTGCTTCGTTCTTAATTTACCCGGAAATAAAGCATGACATTTCAAGCAGCGAAAAAAAAAGCTACGAATTTTTGGACACTGAATTTTTTGACACTGAATTTGAAAACGACAGTAGCTCAGTTGGTAGAGCATTGGCCTTAAGCCCAGAAGGTCGTGGGTTCATTTCCCACCTCTGCACCTTCTCCACCGACTCCCACTGATGACTGCTGTCGTTGTGTCCTTGGGCAAGACACTTAACCCCACTTTGCCCAAAGCCCCCACTGAAAGATCAAGGCTATGCTCACACTCAGAGAGCAGCCGTCCTCCTGTGGACTCACCACCTGCAGAGGGTCAGTGAGGGGCTGGTGCTATGAGACTTGGGTGGCATCTCTGACTGCCACCCCCCTGACCCAGAAATGGATTAAAGGGTAGAAAATGGATGGATGGATGGATGAGTTCTATGGGACATTCTTCTGGGTAGCCCTAGTGAATTTAGTCTGTAGTGCCACGAGCGCCCCCTGTGCCCATGGGTGGGACTAGCTAGTAATACCCTATCCAGATATTATTATAGATCCATGATTGTAACTATGAGAAAACTGGTCCAGTAGAGGTTGATACTCCAATATAACCCACCCCTGGTCTAAGTCCATACTTTTTTCTGAAATGGATACATTAACAAAAGCTTTACTGGGACCCCTCCCCTGCATTAGTGGTATAAAGTAGATCCAATTATATAGTTTGTCACAGACATTTTCTGAAGCAATATATACTGTTTATCTATCAAAATGGGTTATAGTGAGAGGCTTACAAGAAACTGAAGCAATGCCTTTTGGCCTTTGCTTCACTCCCTTTGCTTCACTCCCTTTGTTTCACTCCCTTTGTTTCACTTCCTTTGTTTCACTTCCTTTCAAGACTTCCAACTCTTATATAGTCTTACATATGTTCCAGATGCTCAGTTACACAATATGTAAGACAAAAATGGTAAAGAAGATTTTTTGACATTTTTACCTAACTATATTTAGTCAAGGTCAAATGTGGTACAGAACCGGTCGGGTCCGACGTTCTATCGACGGCTTACATTATATTGACGTTTATATTCATTTTCAGTTCTGGCCAGAAGCCGATATCAAAACAACGTGTTTTCAACCAATAAAAGTATACGTAAACTTTATTGTCTACCGAGGTAGAAAATTGTGTTTAGTTTTCACCTTAAAATACATAAAAAACACATCCAGCAAAATATCACGTGGCACTTCATTCACAGTACAATTGGACACCAAAAGTAAGAACAAACTGTGAACAGAATACCCAACAAGGCCTCATCCGGCCTAAAGACAAGAGGAAACCTCAAGACTCCTCAAGAGTGTTTATAAAAATGTATTTCGTGGGTAATATGACTCAATATCTCCCTCCTAACGGCAGAAGTTCAAACTTGCGGTTTAACGCATGGGAAGTATCATCGATGATGAGGTTGCCAAACCACATCAGGATGTTAAAAGTGAGGATTGCGTTTTGAGTTGCCTTGTGTTGGAAAGGCGCTATACAAATAAAAGTTGATTGATTGATTGAGGATGCTCTCTACAAGGCTCTTGTAGACTGTCTCTAGGATAAAACGACTCACACCAAAATTATTGATTGACTGCGGAACCTTCCGCAGTCAACCATTGGTTTTGTATTTCTTTATTCCGTCATTTTTTTTGACACGTTTCACAGCTTTCACATTTTCAACAATTTCCACAAGTTATACATCAAAACGTTCCACATGTTTGGGAGATTATTGCTATTACTTTTGGGACTTCAGCGATTTCCGGTTTTTCCGCAATCGGACAAAAATCTGCATTGAGAATTCTGCAATGCATTTTAATAGGCCCATGCATTTTAATAGGACTTCAGCTCTTTCAGACATTTCTACAGTTTCAATGATTCAACAGTTTCAAGGATTCAACAGTTTCAAGGATTTCAGCAGTTTCAAGATTTCAAGAGTTTCAAGGACTTCAACAGTTTCAAGGACTTCAGCAGTTTCAAGGACTTCAGCAGTTTCAAGGACTTCAGCAGTTTCAAGGACTTCAGTGTAATCATGCAACCTAATAGGGATTTTTCCATGTAAACCAGTATAATGCAACTTAATAGGGATTTTTCCATGTAAACCAGTATAATGCAACTTAATAGGGTTTTTTCATGTAAACCAGTATAATGCAACTTAATAGGGTTTTTTTTCATGTAAACCAGTATAATGCAACTTAATGGGGATTTTTCCATGTAAACCAGTATAATGCAACTTAATAGGGGTTTTTTACATGTAAACCAGTATAATGCAACTTAATAGGGTTTTTTCCATGTAAACCAGTATAATGCAACTTAATAGGGTTTTTTCCATGTAAACCAGTACAATGCAACTTAATAGGGATTTTTCCATGTAAACCAGTATAATGCAACTTAATGGGGATTTTTCCATGTAAACCAGTATAATGCAACTTAATGGGGATTTTTCCATGTAAACCAGTATTATGCAACTTAATAGGGTTTTTTTCATGTAAACCAGTATAATGCAACTTAATAGGGTTTTTACATGTAAACCAGTATAATGGAACTTAATAGGGGTTTTTACATGTAAACCAGTATAATGGAACTTAATAGGGGTTTTTACATGTAAACCAGTATAATGCAACTTAATAAGGATTTTTACATGTAAACCACTATAATGTAACCTAATAGGGGTTTTTACATGTAAACCAGTATAAAGCAACTTAATAGGGATTTGTACATGTAAACCAGTATAATGCAACCTAATAGGGATTTTTCCATGTAAACCAGTATAATGCAACTTAATAGGGATTTTTCCATGTAAACCAGTATAATGCAACTTAATAGGGATTTTTCCATGTAAACCAGTATAATGCAACTTAATAGGGATTTTTCCATGTAAACCAGTATAATGCAACTTAATAGGGATTTTTCCATGTAAACCAGTATAATGCAACTTAATAGGGATTTTTCCATGTAAACCAGTATAATGCAACTTAATAGGGGTTTTTACATGTAAACCAGTATAATGCAACTTAATAGGGTTTTTTTCATGTAAACCAGTATAATGCAACTTAATAGGGATTTTTCCATGTAAACCAGTACAATGCAACTTAATAGGGATTTTTCCATGTAAACCAGTATAATGCAACTTAATAGGGTTTTTTCTGCTCTTTTATACTCTGCTCTGCTCTACTCTACTATACTCTGCTCTACTATACTCTGCTCTACTCTACTCTACACTACTCTGCTCTACTCTACTCTACTCTACTCTGCTCTATTCTACTCTACTCTACTCTGCTCTACTCTTTTCTACTCTGCTCTACTCTACTCTACTCTACACTACTCTGCTCTACTCTACTCTGCTCTACTCTTTTCTACTCTGCTCTACTCTGCTCTATTCTACTCTACTCTACTCTGCCCTACTCTACTCTACTCTACTCTGCCCTACACTTCCAGTGCTGCTGGAAGCCATGGTTACCAAGGGATTTCCAAAGATACTGGTTTGTTGTGGGTGTATTTTTAAGATATGATTCCCAATACTAAAGCGTTAGGGTAACGGAAACACAACCAGGCCAAGTGGAGTAGAGTAGGACTGGTGGAAATGGGGCTAAAGTTCAGTGGGATTTCGTTCACATACACAGAGGTCTGTCTCGTATCTGACTTTATCTCTGTGTCTTTTTATGTCTTTGTCTCTCTGTCTATCTGTCTCTTATTCCTTTTATCTGACTCCTCTGTGTCTCTGTTTCTGTGTTTGTCTCATGTCCTTGTATCTCTGTGTTTGTCTCATGTCCTTGTATCTCTGTGTCTGTCTCTGTGTCTGACTCTGTGTCTGACTCTGTGTCTCTCTCTGTGTCTGTCTCTGTCTCTGTCTCTGACTCTGTGTCTGTCTCTGTCTCTGTGTCTGACTCTGTGTCTGTCTCTGTCTCTCTCTGTGTCTGACTCTGTGTCTGTCTCTGTCTCTGTGTCTGACTCTGTGTCTGTCTCTCTCTCTCTCTCTGTGTCTGTCTCTGTGTCTGTGTCTATCTCTGTCTCTGTGTCTGACTCTGTCTCTCTCTCTGTGTCTGTCTCTGTGTCACTCTCTGTGTCTGTCTCTCTCTCTGTGTCTCTCTCTGTATCTGACTCTGTGTCTGACTCTGTGTCTCTCTCTGTGTCTGTCTCTGTCTCTGTCTCTGTGTCTGTATCTGTGTCTGTCTCTGTCTCTGTGTCTGTGTCAGTCTCTGTGTCAGTCTCTGTGTCTGTCTCTGTGTCAGTCTCTGTGTCAGTCTCTGTGTCAGTCTCTGTGTCAGTCTCTGTGTCTGTCTCTGTGTCTGTCTCTGTGTCAGTCTCTGTGTCAGTCTCTGTGTCAGTCTCTGTGTCTGTCTCTGTGTCAGTCTCTGTGTCAGTCTCTGTCTCTCTCTCTGTGTCTGTCTCTGTGTATGTCTCTGTGTCCTTGTATCTGACCGGTCTGTGTCTCTGTGACAGTTGTCTCGAGCGGAGGAGAAGATGAACGGTCTGGACGGTTGTTACTGTGAGAGGACGTGCAGCGTGAAGGGCTCGGTCTACAGAGAGGACGAGGGCTGGACCGACGGCTGCCGGAACTGCACCTGCTCCGTACGGTTTCATCTCATTCATTTTATATCACTTTGGGTTGACCTTTATCTGTTTTCCCAAGCTGTTCTGGCCAAGAGCATCATAACAACCCTCACAGACATGTCAATTACATCAACACACTAGTTCCCAGTATTTACAAAGCTTCATGGCTGTAATGGCCTCCTCCTGCACATGCAGTATGATCAGGTTAAACTCAGACTAACTAAGAATGGCAAGGCACGTTTATATGTATGGCACAGTTCACTCAAAGTGCTGAACAAAGCAAAGAGCAATCACACTAGGCATTAAAAAATAAATAATCACAGCACAAAAAGAGTGAAGATACAATCCTTCAGTTGTTGAAGCTAAGCAGAACTGTTTTTAACCATTGTCAGATAGAAGCTTGTTTTAGCTGCGTACATCTGAAACGCTGCCTCTTCATGTTTAGTCCTGACTCTGGGACCAGCAGGAGGCCAGTCCCTGTGCTCCTCAGAGTCCCAGCAGGAGGCCAGTCCCTGTGCTCCTCAGAGTCCCAGCAGGAGGCCAGTCCCTGTGCTCCGAGTCCCAGCAGGAGGCCAGTCCCTGTGCTCCTCAGAGTCCCAGCAGGAGGCCAGTCCCTGTGCTCCTCAGAGTCCCAGCAGGAGGCCAGTCCCTGTGCTCCTCAGAGTCCCAGCAGGAGGCCAGTCCCTGTGCTCCTCAGAGTCCCAGCAGGAGGCCAGTCCCTGTGCTCCTCAGAGTTGGTTCATATGACACTAACATATCACAGATGTACTTTGGTTGGAGGCCATGGAGACAAACAGAGCTGCTTTAAAGTCTATTCTCTGAGCCACAGGAAGCAAAGACCTTAGACCTGCAGGACTAATGTGACAGTACTTCCTGGTTCTAGTCAGGACTCGACCCGTTGCGTTTTGAATCTACTGCAGCTGGTTTCGAGTTCGTCCGGAGATCGTTCAAAAGTCCATTTAATGTAATTCAACTTAAAATGTGAAAATATTATACGACTCATTACAACAGAGAGAAATTCATCCGGTTTGTATTAGTTATAATGTTGATAATTGGCTTCACAGCTGTAAAAACCCAAAATTAAACATCTCAGAGAATTAGAATATTTATTAATTGGGGGGAGGCAGACAAAAAACACAAAAACCAAACCATTTAAAATCCCTAAACTTTGGTACATCTCAAATTAAAAAAGAAAGAGTTTTCTCCCTGAGTATTTTACGTGAGAGTCCTGTTGCTCTCTTTTACACATTCTTTACGCTTTAATGTCCACTTCTTGAAGAAAGAAGATTGAGCCTCCCACTCTCTGAACTCACTCCATCAACCCATCAGAAACTTGATTTTTATGTGTTTTGTAAAGCGTCTTCGAATAATTTGTTTTTCTTGCTGTGTTTTTTTGAAGCCCTAGTTTTTTTCCATTATAGGCCTCTAACGAATGGTTGAGATTCAGTTTTACGGAAACAGTAAGTGATAGATTTCCCATTATGGTAGATTTCAGATCCAAGCTTAAAGTAGCTTAACTAGAATTTAAGTTTCTGCTATCCAGAATATATAACTACTATATGTGTTTGTAATATTTCGGGTGTTCATTTTGACATGTTCAGATGAATTCTGTTTAAAAAACGGCTTCCAAGTTGCACTTTTTCACTTCCGCATTGAAACGCTAGGGGGGGCCAAAATGGCGGCGATGACGTAGGAGAAGGGGATCTCACAGCCGTCATGACTGGAATCTGTAGGAACAGCGAGTTAATTGATGTTGAATTTGGGGAAGACTCGGAGGTTTCACTGTCATCTGAACAAGGTATAAACATATTTTCATCAGTTTTGTACATAATAGTGTGCAACTCTTTTAACCTTTAGCCTTATTTGTGAGATTCAAGCTAATAACTTGGCCTAATGGTCCCTAGTGTTGGGCAAGTTAGCTAACGTTCAAGATATCCTAAAACATGCTAACAAGGCTAATATTCGTTTTTACATTATGCCAGTCTCACTTTGGTTACCTTAGATTTATTTACCACAATGTACATTGTAATATCCATAAATGCTAAATCCTAATAACGGTTTAATAAAATACAAAAAAACAATGATTGCATCACATGTAGTTATCATGTTAGCTCTTTTGTCTTTTTACAACTTCAGCAGCTTTTTGTTCATATAGTATGTTCATAAAAGTACAATATTTATTTTATTCAACTTATTTTTATTGTACAGCACGTTATTGTCACTTATTGCAATCATTACTATGACATTTTTGTTTTGACTCTGTAGGAAGTGGCCACAGTCCTGTTTCTGATGACCGAAGTGATCCTGAATTTGGATCTGATTGTGAACATTTTCAACAGCTTGATCCTTACTCATTTGAGCCACTAGCAACACCACAGCCCCTCGATGGGAATAATGAAGGAGAGACAGATTCAGAAAATGAGGAAATTCACAGAGTGGGAAACAAAAACTGGGTGAGATTGAAAAACTCCTATTTTTATGGACTGTGTAAAGGTCTTATGCCAGAATTCAAATGTTTGTTTTTTATATTTTATAATGATGATGATATAAATGATTGAAACATTAGGCTACATCAAGCTTGATATAAATTTCATGTTAACATAGAATATAAGTCATATAGATAAACTATCTATTGATTTAATTTACAGGTGTCAGTGTGAAAAATGTGCAATCATGTCTCAGGTTGAAGAGTGTTATTGCTGTCAGGAGAAAAACGCAGTTTTTGCAAGGATGGAGGAATACAATTCAGAAAATGGACAGGACGTATCCTGCATCACAGAGCATGAGGGGTTTGAGTCCATTTGCTTAGACCCGTGGTCACTGGAGATGGCATATATGTACCTGAAAGCTGATGGGTACATAGAACCCGATCTGTCAAATGAAGCGTAAGGAAGCAATTGAGATTTTACAAAAAATTCTACAAATGACTTTTGGCTAATAGAGGATTCATTTTCAATTTCAGGAAATTCAGATACACAGGATATCGGAGATTTGTCCAGTGGTGCTACGGGACTTTGGGGAAAAAGAAAAGGGTGCCATTACCCTCGTGTGTTCTGGTCCGAATAAGAGATACTTATCCTGATGCAGGTGGCACATATAGGGGCTTTAAATTACCAACCTTAAATTAGTTAGAATAGTAACTAAATAAATAGGAAATGTTTCAGTTGTATAAACATTTGTTTTATTACAATTAAAGATGTATTGTTCACTCAGATCAGTGTGTTATTATTGCACAATGTTCAATTAAGTTTGAATCTTGTTTTGTGCTGTCTTATAGCATCTTCCTTTGTGACTTTATTGCATTGACTGGTCCGGGGTGGTGGTTTTGACTTCTCAGCCAAGTACTTCTCGCCAGCCAGTAGACGCTTACATACACAGGCCATCAACGGATCAATGTAGTCTATAAGTAAAATAACAACTTTCATGAATACAAACAACAATGAGTTGTAAAGTATTAGATGTAAATGTTAATGCTGAAAACTTACTGTAAGTGGCTCCCTCAAATATTTTGCATAGAGTGTGGCTCCCTTTCTTGAATTTAGGATAAACCAAATTGTATCTATCCTGTCCATCCTTAGTTTTTTCCTGACTTCTGTTTGCATTTTCATTGTGGTGCAAAAAATGCAGACGATATCTATGAAAAGAGGTAGAAAAGGGCTTTCATTACAATAAATAATGATAGGTAAAAAAAAATAAAATACGGAGATAAATGCTTACCTTGCCTCAATACCATGGTAGCTGAAATGAAGCATCTTTGGGGCAAAGTGATTGAGGAGTGAGTGAAAGGATTCGACACCTGATGTGACACTATTGGGAGACAGCTGTCTTATGTCTTTAATAACATTGTTGGTGAAGACTGTCTCAATGAGTCTAGTGTAGGCTTTTGAGTCTATATTTAACAAAACAGATTAATTTCAACACCATTGCAAATTAAACTGAATCCTAGAAGATGGTGCATGCACTAAAAGATAAAGCCAAGCATTTAAAAATTTGTTAGAGACAATACAGGTGAAGGAACAGACTGTCAGTGATTTAGGAAGATTGAGTAAACGCCAGATAGTGCCTATAATAGATCCTGTGCACCACAGACCTCATGCTCAGCAGGTGATGCAAACAAGAAAGATTATGCATTTCTTGAAGAGCTTATTTGCAAAAGCAGATAAGTGTCATTTGAAAATATTTTTGGATGCTTCTAGTTACAATACAATACAATACACAATGCAATTTATTCTTGTATAGCCCTAGGTCACAACAGAAGTCATCTCAGAGGACTTAACAAAACCATTGAAATCACCAACACAGGTCAGAGAATCAACAGTTAAAACACATGAAGAATATAAAGCACACACAGATGAAAATGTCCATACATGTTGTAGAATGCTAAAGTGTCCTGATCATCACCAATCCTTTCTGTTGGACACTAACTGTCCAACAAGACCCTCCTGCATCGACAAGGAAAAACTCTTAAAAAACCCAGTGGGAAAAAGTGAGAAACCTTGGGGAGCACTAGGGAAACCCACAGGGAGGGAGACCCATATGAGAAAGGGATCCGCTCCTCCGGACGGACAGGCTAATGATCTAGGACCTAAGCTAGCTACAGAACGTGGACCAGTGGCCGCTGAACGTGGACAGGTCCGGTGCAGGACTGAAGCACTCCCAGGCGGGTCGGGCGGGGCAGTCCGCAGGTGTAGATGGAGGAGGCCAGGCTCAGAGATCCCGTCATCGTACCATGAAACAGACAATGGGACAACGGGTGAATAGCAATGAACAAACTACAGTCAGAATCCTAAAAATGCTAAACAGATAAAGTAGGAAGGAGGAGAGGATAGTGCTCAAGTTACCATACTTCTCCCAGCAAACTGACTCCCTATGCAGCTTGACTGACACTCTGAGGAGTTTAACCTTCTCCGAGTCTTACCTTCCTAGCCATATGCTAAACTAAAGAGGACTGTTTTAAACCTAGCCTTGAATAAAGAATAACATACAGCATAATATATAACATAATATACAACATAACACAATACATTATTGAATAATATATAACATAATATATAACATAATACAGCATATATATATAATATATACACTACATATTATATATTACCTAATTATATGCTAAATTAAAGTAAAGTGCTTTAAGCCTGGCCTTGAATGTGGAGACCGTATCTGCTTCCTTAACATAAATGGGAAGCTGATTCCACAGTAAAGGAGCTTGGTAGCTAAATGCTCTGCCACCAACAGTGACCTTTGAGACCTTAGGGACCACCAGACGTCTGGCGTTTTGTGAGCGCAACGCTCGACCTGGTTGATACGACACTAACGTGTCTTGGAGATAAGAGGGAGCCAAGCCATTTATGGCTTTATATGTTAAGAGTAGGATTTTAAACTTTATTCTGTACTCCACAGGGAGCCAGTGGAGTGATTTTAACACCGGAGTTATGTGCTCCCTCCTTTTGGTACCTGTTAAGATCCTAGCTGCTGTATTCTGAACGAGCTGGAAGCTCTTCAAAGAGGCTTTAGGGCACGCTGCCAGTAAAGCGTTACAGTAGTCGAGCCTTGAGGTGACAAACGCGTGAATGAGTTTTTCCGCGTCACTTTTAGGAAGGAAATTCCTAATTTTAGCGATGTTCCGTAAGTGGAAGTACGCCGTTTTAGTTGCTTGGCTTATATAAGCCTTGAAGGAGAGTTCTTGGTCAAAAATGACTCCAAGATTCCTCACAGTGTTACTGGGTATAATACTGACATTATCGAGAGTAATTATCTGGTTAGTGAGGGAGTCACGCAGGCACTTCGGACCGAGTAGGATCACTTCTGTCTTCTCCGGGTTGAGAAGTAGGAAGTTAAGAGTCATCCACATTTTAAGGTCCTTTATGCAGGCACTGAGCTTTTCTAGCTGATCTGTCTGATTAGGCTTCATCGACAGATAAAGCTGTGTGTCATCTGCATAGCAGTGGAAATTAATTCCATGCTTTTTAATAATGTTTCCCAGTGGCAGCATGTAGAGAGTAAAAAGAATCGGTCCGAGTACCGAACCCTGCGGCACACCGAATTCCACTCCAGAATAAGGCGACGAGTCCTGATTCACATTGACGAAGTGATATCGATCTGATAAATAGGATTTAAACCAGCCAAGGGCTGTTCCTCTAAGACCTATATCACATTCTAGCCTCTGCAGTAGAATGCTGTGGTCTATTGTGTCAAATGCAGCACTAAGGTCCAGTAGGACCAGCACTGACACTTGTCCATTATCGGCAGCTAGTAGTAAGTCATTTGTGACTTTGACTAGTGCCGTTTCAGTGCTATGATGAGCTCTGAATCCAGATTGAAAGACTTCAAACATATCATTTTCCTGCAGGTGGCAGCGGAGCTGCTCAGCTATAAGTTTTTCCAGGATTTTAGATATAAAAGTGAGGTTCGAGATCGGTCTGTAGTTTGTAAGTATTTCTGGGTCCAGGTTTGTTTTCTTCAGAAGGGGTTTGATTACCGCGGTTTTAAAAGCTTGTGGGACATAGCCACATTGTATGGATGCGTTTATTATATTTACGATAGGCTCAATTATCAAAGGAAGTATGTCTTTGAAGAGCCATGTCGGGACTGCGTCTAACATGCAAGTTGAGGCTTTTGAGGATGTGACCACAGAGATCACCTCTGCTTGGCTCACAGCCATGAATTTATTAAGGCCCACTGAAGAGTCTAAGTGGGAAGTCACGTATGCCGCTTCAACCTGTCCACCACTAACAGCAGGAGCAACCTCCTCCAGCTTGTCACGGATGGATGTAATTTTATTATTAAAGAAGTGGAGAAAGTCGACACTGCTCAGTGAGCTTGGAATTTTAGGCTCGATTGCGCTATGGCAGTTTGTGAGTTTAGCGACGGTACCAAACAAAAATCTACTGTTGTTTTTATTCGCTTCTATTAAAGTTGAATAGTATTGAGTTCGAGCCCCGCGAAGGGCCTTCTTGTAGTTTCGGAGACCTGCTTTCCACTCCCTGTGGACAGGCTCCGAGTGGGAGTGGCGATATAGCCTCTCCAATTTTCTGACGTCCTGTTTTAAAGTGTGGAGTTGAACACTGTACCAGGGCGACGATGATCTAATCCTAATGGTTTTCTGTTTTAAAGGAGCTGCTGCATTTAATGCAGATTTTAAAGACTCCATAGTGTTGCCCACCGTTTGGTCAATGACTGAGGGACTGCAGCTGCTGTGAACAGGTTCACCTGCAGCAGTATTCAACATAGGCTGTATTAGTTCTTTGAACCTTGTGATAGATTTATCATTTAAGGTTCTTTTCATTATGGTTTTATCTTGCGGGACAGGAAAGTCCTCCAAAGCGAGATCAAACGTGATCAAGAAATGGTCAGACAGCAACGAGCTTTGACGCTGGATGTCAACATTGGAGACATCACAGCCGTAGGTCAGGACAAGGTCCAAGGTGTGGTTATGAATGTGAGTAGGTTCCTCGACATTCTGAGTAAAACCAACACCATCTAGTACGGCGCTGAAAGCTTTGTTTAAGCTGTCAGTGCTGTCGTCCACATGTATATTGAAGTCTCCAGCTATAACTATGTTTTCCCATTCCAAAACTAGGTTTGAAATGAAGTCAGAGAATTCTGTTAGGAACTCGCTGTAAGGACCAGGAGGTCGGTATAAAACTATAAATAGTACTGCTTTTTGTTTTCTCCACCCAGGACAGGTGATTGAAAGTGTTAAGTTTTCAAACGAGTGAAAAGCGTTGTTGGTTTTGGGACTAAGAACCAAGTTGGTGTGTGATATAATCGCAACACCACCGCCGCGACCTGTAGCTCTGGCTTTCTGGTAGTTAACATGCGTCGGAGGAGTGCACTCATTCAATCTAACGTAGTCGTCCTGTTGGAGCCAAGTCTCCGAGAGCGCAAACAGATCCAAGCCCTTGTCTATAATAAGTTCGTTTATGAGAAGCGATTTAGACGAGATTGATCTGACGTTCATTAAACCACATTTAACAACCCTACCGCTAGAACTATTTCTGTCTGTCTGAACTTTTATTAAGTTACTGTGTCTGACACCTAGGTCAGATTTCCTCGCATATAGTGCTTTAGACTTAAAGCGGGGAACACACACAGTTTCAATCTGACTAGGTTCTGAGGCTAGTAACTGAGCACAAACTCATAGTTACAGCCAAGTGGCTCCCTTTTTTCTCATTAATCAGATCATTATTATCAGAATCCACATTTTAAATACTTGGCTTTTTTCCTGTTTAAATTAATTGTACCCTTTTTTTTTCCCGCCCCCCGGGGGATATGGAGTTTTTATTATCCTATAACTTCTGACCCTAACTGTCCCTATTTCTCTAATCCTATTTATCTAAACACTTGTGCCTCTTTT